CGTGGCATCCTCAGTCCTGCTAGTTTACTTCAGCTGGAACCTTTAATTACCTTCAGTAATAATTTTTCTAAAATCTACCAATATTAACGCGTTCGATAAACGATGAATTATTGTTGTAACTGTTTGTGATTCACAAACTTAAGGAGTGCATTATTAACACTTGATATTTACACTCGGTAACTTTCTTTGCTTCGGAAAGACTTAGGACTTGGTTTAGTTTGCTAGAGAAACTATTTTTTTAGAAAGACGAAGACAATTAGATTGGCTTTACATCCAGCACAGAGAATTATAATTTCAGTTATCCCATTTCTTATGTTGTGGCTGCTTCAATTACCAAATTTCTCAATATAAATGCCAGGCTTTTTTAGGCTCATTACATAGTGAGCCTGCTTTCCTCAACGCTTGCCACCTATATTTCCACCGACCTATTCTCGCCACCACTGATGTCACCACAACCGTCGCTCATTCGAATTTTCGTGGTTTCAAATGAAAGTCCTCACGCCACGGGTTGTGCGTGGCTACACGCTACCAAACAAAGCTCGCCGCAGACAGACTTGTCATTGATCTAAAATATATTGCACCGGCTCTTTATATTTAGTATTTAGCCTCAATGTATGAAATTTATGAATCTAAAATTATAAAGTATTACACAACTTCTACTCAATAACTAATTTTAAAATATTAAAAGATAAAGGTGCCATATTATTGACCATTTACATGTTTACAATATTCAAAATGTCAATTCTATGACTCTCTCTCTCTCTTGAACTAAGTTAGGTTCCCAACCAGTCTTAGGTTTGATCCTAAATCGATGAATTTTACTTGGACAAATATTCTTTATTTGTGTTACCCATAAACTCCTAAACTTGGATCATCAGATCCTCATAGATCGACGAAGCGTTTTGAGCTTACCACAAATTTTTTAAGACCGTTAATATCAGTCCCAACAACTTCGCAAGGTTCGCCAAAAGTGTGTCTACCGAGATAAGTTAATCACAGGCTGGCAAAAGCCGAGAGGAGGAGTGATAACATGATTCCACCTCGTTTTCCTCCATACAGCCTTAGCGAAGAGCGTCCCATAAAATATTTAGCCGCACCGCGTGTGAACCTGTTAGATAATCCAGTATCCAAACACTTACAATTGCGGCGAGATTGACTTTGCCAAGAACCAGTAGTTTCTGAGGACCTCTTAGGGTTCACTTTGGGCCAAAAGAAGCGCAGTCGCTCACGTGCTGGTTGTTTACCAAATTTATGGAAAGTTCTCGACAGAAGACTCCACCTCCTACTTTCCCTTTTAACTTCGATCTATCTATAAAAAAGCTCACTGCATCCGTTCTCCAACGGCTTTGCTCAACCCACAAATCCCCCGCAGGTGTCTGCGATGCAGTGATTTAGATTGTAAGAAATGACATCGAAGCAATGTAGAGGTATGTCCCTGCCCCTCATATGCCCAACTACCACCTAACAGCAGAGATATATAACCAAAAAGGTTGTTTGCAGAGCTGCCACCTGTTTTAAAGTGTGTATTATTTATCTTCTATATTTTGTGAATAGGTGGCAACTCCATTTAATAAAAATATATTAAAATAAAACATTTTTTTAGTTTATTTGACTTTTTATTCGCTGCAACTAATTGAATTCGTGTAAAGGTTGCCACCTGTTTTTATTTAAAATTTTTAAATTACATCAAACTGTAGTAGTTTCCAAGAAAAAATTTATATAGAAAAAGACTTTTTTGTAGAGCTGCCATCTGTTTAAATTTTTTTATAAGTTTTAAATTAAATTCTATAATAAAAATTTCAACATATTAGGGTATGAAGAAAATTTCCATTTAATGTGCGTACAAAATTTTAATATTTTTAAGCGATTCATAATAAATATAAGTAGAGTCAGGTCTGACATTGTCACACTTGATTAGCATCAACTATGCATTTTTCTACACGGCTGTAAATACATACATGCAATTATAGTACATATGTTACATATATAATATATACATATATATGTTATGTATACTTGTGGCATCATTATTGCTGTGGTAATTTTAAGAAATACAAGAAATTCTTTTGCATTTTTATTTTCCCTCAAAAAACTTCATTTCCTTTCAAGGCGAACTCATACTACTAAATAGTAACAACAACTTCCGGTTGTCACATACACACAATCGCCAATTCATCATTCGTCTTCATTTTGACGTCACTCAGACCAATCCAAGCGTTGCTGTTGAATACGAATGCGAGTACATCCTGCGGCTGTTGTGGTTAACATTTTCGTTCGTACGAGTACTTTCCTCACTTCCACTCCACTTAAAGACATGTGTGTGAGTGCGTGTGACACACATTCATGCATTCATTAAATTTGGTTTCATTTGCTCAAACACTTGCGTGCACACACATATATACTCCTTTCTGTGCATGTTGACGTGTTCTCGTGTGGACTCCTTCTTGGCAGTGACGACTTTTCAATTCTGAGATTTGCTTACTTTGTGTGACTCGAGTTGTTTGGAATGGATTTTAATTATTTTAATTATTTCACAGCGTTTGAGAAGCTGACATTTGTACAATTTTTAGCATTTCAATCCAAGCTTATTTGCAGTGAGCGGTACAATATGTAAATAAGAGCTTCTTCCTGCTGTACTTTGTGTTATGCAGAGAGTCTGACACATTCATCTCATTTTGAAGAAAAACATACTTTTTTTAGCAAACTCGTTTTTTCATTATTCGTTATGAATGAGTGATGGAAGGCGATGCACTGATTGCAGTACAATTGGTATTTTGCAAAACAGGCCCCAGGCTCGGCAATTTATGTCCGACTGTCTATATACAATATATGCAGACTAGTCCCAGAGATATTGATCAAAAACCTTGCCAACGTCCTTTTCTCTTCAAGGAGCTACTCATATGTCGGAACCACCGATATCGGAACACTATAAGATATAGCTGTAATACAAACTGATCGATAAAAATCATGTCCTTGTATGAGAAACTTTTTTTCCACATGATATCTTTACGAAATTTCGCACAGATTTTTTTTCAAGGCAACGGTACAATCTCCTAACAAATTGGATTGGGCCACTATAGCATATGGCTGTCATAATGTCGATCAGTCCAAATCAAGTCCTTATACTCATATGCAAAACTTTTTTATGTGACGAAATATCTTGACTAAATTTGACATGAATTATTTTCCAGGACGATGCTATAACCTTTAAATACAATATTTTAGATCAAACCAGCATATAGCTGCCATACAGAATTACCGATAAAAATATTCATAAAAGATGTATTTTTCCTTATAAGTAACCTTAATTCTACTTTAAGGTGGTTTATATCAAACAAGGTGGCTAGAAAAAACTGACAAAATGTTTTTCGTTGGATGTAAATTGTTGGCTGTTTTTCTAATCTGTATCTCCTGCGATCGGGTTACCACAGCGAAAGCGAATATGACCGAGCTATTATTTTAACCAACTTTTTACTATGACTACCTAAAACAAATATCTATTAATATCTGTTTTTTTGGTTTTACTCATTTTAAGCACTTCAACACTGTCAACAACGTATTTTTTCACGATTAGAAAACGTCGAACGAACTACCTATTTTATAGGTTATGCCATAGAATAAGTAACCCGAATTTTCATTATTGGAACGGCTTCTAACAGCTGTTTTTTTAACATGTAGTTTTCAGTAAGGCAATACCTTTTTCGGAGATGGATCCTCCTGAACAACGTTTGCAAATCGTTCAAATTTATTACCAACATAATGGTGCGGTTCGTGCGACGCATCACGGGCTGGGTCCAATATTCGGTCGACATAATCACCCAGCATGGATCGGTTTCGCACCACGTTTACTTTAGTGGATAATGCGTATCCCCAGCTATTGCTGCTGTGGAGCAGAGTATCGAAGAATACCCGAATGAGTCCATCCGCTATCGCGTGCAATAATTGGAGCGTCCACTTTATGGAAGATTTTGCGGAAGGATCTTGGTTTAAGAGCTTACAAAATCCAACTCGTGCAAGAATTGGAACCAAACGGCCATCAAGCACGTCACACGTTCGGGAAATAGGCTCAAAACGAGGTGGCCACCGATTCCGATTTTTACAAGGATATGTTGTTCAGCGATTAAGTTCACTTTTGGCTGAATGGATACGTCAATAGACAAAATTGTCGCGTTTAAAGTGATGATAATCCACACGTCATTGTTAAGACGCCGTTACAGCCTCAAAAAGTCACGGTTTCGTACGGGCAGAGGAAATCGATCCACGTTTTTTCAAAAATGAAACTCGCCATAAAGTTACAATCAAATGCGAACGCTATAGAACTTTGGTTCCAACAAGAATTACAGTCAACGAAACAATCAATTCGTTGAAGGGAACTTTTGGAGAGCGCATTCTCCCGTGGCGTGCGCCTCCAAGATCGTTTCCATTTAGCACGGCTGGACTATTTGTGGGGTTGTGCAAAGTCGGTTGTCTACGCAGATAAGCCCGACACGATTGACGCTTTGGGGCAAAAAGCGGTAACTTTTTCAAATAATTTTTAAAATATATAGGCAAACCCTTATCTTAATAATAAAGCAAAATTTTTGGCCATAATATTAAATTATATGCGTTTTACCTATTTATTTACTACATATCTAATAAAAGAAAAACACCCTTTACGTTTCAAACTATTGATATACCTCCAGTAGAAGGTATCAAACATACGCTCATTATGCGATGGTCTTTCTCGGTCAACAATTTCTAACATAACTTCTTTTGTCTATCTTTTGAATAGCTTAATTTGCCGCTGGTGACTGTGGAAGCAGAATGCAGACAAAGGAGGAGGTTCACATATACTACATATTGGAACCGAAGTTGATTTTCGCTAAATAAGTAAACTTTTCTTATAATAACGGTCCTTAAGATAAATGACACAAGTTCCTTTTTAAACAATATGATTAATTCGAAAAGCACCAATAAGCCACATTTTTCTAACTAATTTCAAAAAAATGCATTCAAAACACTTCAAATTCTCAACTTATCAGCTTTTAATCAATTATTTATTGTTTTTTATATTGGTTTAAACATTGAAATTCCACATTACTTTACTCCACATGGACAAACACAAATTGACTCGGAATTCTCCAGGTAAAAACACTTGCAACCAAACGGCGGCTCGGCAAACTGCAACGATGAGCAAATACAAATGCACTCAAGCAGCTTCTGAACAAATAACTAAAAATCTTACTTGCAATCAGTGCAAAATGCTGTGCGCCCCAAAAAAATACCAAATTTAACAATTCTAGAAAAAAACATTAACAACAACAACACGTTAAGCTGCCGTGAGTGTGGCACTCGCAGAAAAGAGGGCATAGCGCCGCTTGAGAGCCGTCCAAACAGGTGAATGCAGATAACACTCGGCTCACATGTCAATTGCAGTGACCAACAAAAACAACAAAAACACACTATTATTCCGCAACCGAGCACGGACGCACAGAAGCGTAGTCTTTAGAAAGCTAGTATTTTGCTTGAGCGCTTCAAAAACTCAAAATCTCTTTCGGCTTTGCTTGGCGAAACTAACAGAACGACGACCGTCGACCAGCGACGAGTGGCAAAAACTAAAAATCAAAAGCCAAAATAACGGATGCGCTGCATAGAACGCACACACAACAGCAACAACAACAACGATAAAAGACTAGGCAACAACAAATGATGAAGCAACAGCCAGCAGCGAGCCAACTAATCTGTACACACACACACACAAATATGAACAGAGCAGCGTAACTGCGAGCCCCCCCCCACGCGTATCTCGCACAACGGAAAATTTCAAAACGCGGAAGCGAAGTGAACGCTGGTGAAATTTTAGAAAATGAAAAACCAAAAACGAGCAAAAATAAATGAAAATGAAGAAACTGCAAATCGAAAAAGCCGAAAAATTAGAAATATGTCGCAGAGCTGCTGGGAATTTACAGTTGAATGAAGGATAAGCGCGAGTGCGGCAGTGCATTTCGGCTTAACGCTGGGATAGTGCTGTCAGGATCACGAAAAACACAAAAACCAAAAGAAACACAAAAAGCAGGAAATCAACACTGAAATCCTGCCGCACTAATTCACATTATTTTCCTCCGTTGGGGTTGTCGTGTAGGGTAAACCGAAAGGCGGCAGTCTTTGGGCGCAATGCTTTGTATAACAGTTAAACGAACTGCGTGAAAACTGGGGTAATACCTTCCCCAGTTTGTATGAGTGTGAAGTTATTTAGTAAGCGAGAGCCAACACGTGTTCCATATTTTCTTCTTTGGTTTAGCGGCTCCTGTGTGTGTTGTTGTGAATGTGTTCTACTAAATGCTGGGGTAATTCGGAATTGATTTCGTTTAGAATGGTGTTGCGCTAGTCTCAGTTTCATCAGCTGATAGTTAGGAGAAGCTGAAGAAAAAATATTCCAAATGTTATTTATTTTAAGTGATGTTTGCAACCCAATCCTAGCACTTGCTGTTGTTTGTTAAATTTAATGAAAATGTATCTAACAATTTCCTGCTGTTAAATAGCACCGAAAAATGTTTCGAAATACTTTCAAAACTAGAGCGAATTTTCTTGCCTTCATTAATAACTTTAAAATGTTTCTCATTTGAATGTTAAAGAAGCTCTGACTTTGGTTTTATTGTAAATACTTATACCCTCTGATCTATCAAATCGGAACCAGACTGGTACACATAAATATATCAATTAGTATGGCGGCTGTTTGTTTACGATGTGGACAGTTTGTCTGGCGATTTTGACCATGGAAAAACGCTATCATTGAAAAAGTTGCAGAACTATTTTGTAGTGACTACTTTGTCACGAACACAAGTGTTTGAAAGGCACGAAGCGTTCAGTGAAGGTCATGAAATCTAACCCTGGAAGGTAGTCGCCTTTAATGGTCCGAAGATTTTTTCTGTTAAGTGGCCAAGGCGAGGGTTGATACACGCCCTTATGGGGCTATAAATTCAGAACTGATCAGCGCAAATAGGAAGGCTTCTCAACCGACGCCTACTACATCAACTAAATGATGACAGTATAGGAACGTACTCCGAGGCCTACCAGGGTTTTATGGGACAGATGCAATCTCGGCATTAACCCATTAGCCAATACTGCCAAATATCACTCCCACATATTCAGATGACTCAATACCTTGACCACCAGCTCAGGGTTCAACCAAATCCAAAAGCATCAGACGTTAGGCGTTTTCACAGCCCGTGCAAGCCGCAGGTCATTTAGGAGGCAACCTGCCTTACATCCGAATATGCAACCAACCTTATGCGAATATGTTACAAATGATAGAGCCTTTGACCTTATGTACCTAAATTTCAAAGAAACATAACGTTTAAGACTTTCGTTTGTATGTTTTGATCTATAAGCTACACATGTTCAGTATTTACCACCCACCTTAGTTATAAGTGTATGAAACCCCCGAAATGCTTAATTGTGCTGGAGAATATCAACGATTGGCAAAGCTTTTAGTTAGTTAAATCGTATTATGGGTTCAATTTTCTAGCAGCTTGCGCTGGACTTAAGGTGTTGTTGTAGCAGTAATGGTAGTCTACAAAGCTGCTTTGAAAAAAGTTAAGTAATTTGTCATCGAAGTCATCTAATGGTATGCACAGGAAAGGAGCTGATTTGACAAGGTCGGACTATAGGAAAAGAGGAAAAGGGGTGTTAGATAAGTAGGCTTCAGTGAACAAAATATATGGAGGGATTTATCTGGATAATTTATTCTACTACAACATCCACTCTAGACTAGGTTCTCATTATCTGGAAAGGAAACGAAGACGAAGTTAAGAGATGTCATTAATGGCGTTTAATGCCTGATGAAACTCTTTCGCTTCCGAAGTCTGGGTGATTAATAAGTATTTTTTTCTATCCATTCTACTCACTACCGTCTCAAAAGTTCTTCCTTATAGACAATATTTTCTTTAAAAATATTGTTCACCTTTCGACATTCAATACCAATTTAATTAGGTCAGCTGTAATCTGAGTAATGACACTGCATTATTTTCAAAATAATCTGAAGTACGACTACACTGTACATTGATTTAGTTTACGCGACCTCCACATTGCCTTAAGTGCCAACTCCTACTTTATCCATCAAACTTTATTAGAGTTCCCGAAAAATGGCATAGGTCTGTTGGAATCTTTTTCTACAGAGGCAGTCATGGCTTAGGCAAAACTTCCCTTATATTTACAATTCCATTCACAACAAATTTTACCGATATAAAGACCATATATTTTCTACACTAAACTATTCAACTGGTTGATATAAAGAGGCTTAACTAATAATAAAGTACAAAATCGAAATATAGTACCTCTCATCGTAACGGATACAACTCCGAAAAGTGTCACTACGACTACCACTCCACTCCGAAAACTGTGCTTCATGTGAAATCTTTTGTTTACATTTCGCCAACAAATGTGCCTCAATTCCTTACAACCCGATACAGACAATGTGCTAAAGAGAGACAGCTACGCCAATAAAGACAGCTGACAATGCCACGCTGTTTACTGTAATGTGTAGCATACTTCTAGGCAATTACCCCACTCAACTCAGCACAGCTGCGGCGAGCAATCACCACCAAACCAGCAAAGGGCTGAGGCAAACAACAAACGAGCATGGCATGCCAATACTGACGAAACGAAGAGGGCGCACGAACGACACAACGCTTACAATAATAACAACAACAACACAGCATGTTAGTTTGCTAGCAGAGCACAAACAACGCACGAACGAACGCTATTGGGGTAGCAACAAAAACAAACGACGAAGTCAAGTCACAACACGCAAAGCCGACTGGGGAAATGTACGACGAATGTGGACGAAAGGACGTTAACGGTGCGCTGTGTGCGCGACATTTCAACAACAACAGCAAATTTTGGCTGCAATTTTCATTGCGTTCGCAAAGTTCGACAACTTTGGAAAACTCTGCTCGGTAGTTTGATGCCAGTTAGCTGCGAACTTAGAACAGGTAGAGACGCGCGCGCTTTTGGAGTTTCCTTCGCGGTGAAATTTTCTAAACTCTGAACTGAAATTGAAATTGTGAGCTGAAAGTTGAACGCTGCAAACTGCAATAAAAAAGTAAGACACACAAGTGGACATTCCTATACATATACATATATATAGATATAAATATATACATATGTGCATATATATGCGTGCATTTGAGTTGGTGTATTAGCTTGTATGTATGTGCGTGTGCATTTCGGACTGCCCAGCAGCGTGCAACACTAACTGGCGTATTCGGCAGGCGCTACAATTGACTTTCGCCCAAAACGCATTCTTCAGTCGGTCGTGTGCGTCGCGTATTGTACCCACACTAACGGTAAATGCAAAGTTTTGCCATCAAAAAATTTATTACAAAGCCAGTGTCTTTATGAATAACGCTAGACAGTCTGCGGAGTTCGCTAAAAAAGAAAGTACCGTTAGCAAATAAAAATAATAAAGTATCAAGTTATAAAAAACTTAAGTCGAAGACAAGAAAACAATAACAAGCATAAACTAGTTGATGATATTATCATAAAAACTTTGGTGACCTCAACGTCGCGTGTGTTAAAAATTTTCAAAAATTACGCAGCCAGGCAGCTGTGCATTGTTATGTGTGTGCCTGTGCGTAGGCATTCAAACCGGAAGTAGGCAGTAAAAACCGTACGCTCATATAATTGATCAGCAGCTAACTGGTTCAATGATAAACGTCTCAAACAACGGAAAAAAATTTATTAAAAAGCGAAAAGCGGAGCGCGTAATTTTGCGTTGCGGCGCGAAAAACTTTCCGTTCGGTCGTTCGGCGAGTTTGGGAAAAGTTTCGACCGCGTCGACGTGTGTCTTGCACTTGGTATACTTGGAAAACTTTGCAGCCAACTTTTTAAAGTTCAATCAAACAAAGTTTGTGTTTCGAGTTGCCAGCCTTTTCCGTTGTTTTTCGCCGTTATTGTGCGTAAAGTTGGCGGCCGCATAGTTTTTAAACAAAACGGTAGTGCCAGCGCGAAGTGTTGAAAATCAAAAATTATTTTAGATAAAAAATTGTGCTGCTATAAGTGTATACTCGTATTGTTTAAAACAACAACAAAAACTAAATCAAGTGTAGTGTTTGTGCAAAAAATATTTTCAAAATAAAAATATCAGCAAATAAAACTAAAAATTTTCAAAAATATTCTAAAATGCTGCTCATGTGATCCAACACCCATTTCAACGCAACAAAATTTTCGCTACGCAACACTTACCAACACTAAAAGGCATTAGGTAAAGCAACTTCAATTTTATTAAGGCAAACAAACTTGAATATTTTAGCATACTTTTCCAATCCTCTTATTGCTCACCAGCCTGCAAAACAACGCAAATATATAAATTTAAAGCAATCCCAGCTGATGCTTGAAAATTCAATGCAACAAGAATCAAAAATATATATATATATATCTACTTACTATATAAATTTAAAATTTTTTTGTGTTGAAAAAAAGAATTTCGAAAATATTTTGCAAAACTCATAAGCAATTTTAGTTGTTTAAACACGTCTTTATTTATTTAGCACAAAATTTTTGAAAATTCAGATATTTATAAAAAAAAAATATTTATATATAAAAGTTCTAAAAAAAAAATATAGTGTTGCCTAAACTCTTTGTAGATAATTCCTTTACAGTTACTACACAGCTTTATAATATATATATATTAAGATGATGATGATATTTACAGGCTATTTCAAACGCTTACTTTGGTAATATTAGTCTGTGTTGTAAAGAGACAGAGTAACTAGCTAAAGTTTAAAATTTTCAGCCTTTAACGCCATTGAAAATTGTTTTGTATTGAAATTATATTGGAGGTTGAAGAAGAAGTTGAAGAGACTTTATAATATTCGTGTTAGAAAATAATTTACGTTGAAAACAGGTATTCTCCAAATAACAAAAACAGTATAAAAGCAAAGAAGCTAAATTTTATACTTCTCCGTTTTTTAAACAGTTAAAATTTAACCACGGAGACTTCTTTACTTTTACAAATATATGGAGAAAAGTATTAAGTACTAAGCTTAGAAAATTTTTCGAATATTTTTATAGCATTAAAAATGGAAATTAATCTACATATTGTTCGTATACGCAAAAAAATTACCTCAATGTTATCGTAACGAGTTTTTTTGAACTATTTATAAAGCAGTGCCTTTGAAAATGGTAAAGAGTAAAAGAAATTCATAGTAGGTTGAAACAAAAGATAAAATAATTAAAATTAAAGGAAAAATTATTTACGGGCGATATGTGGTCTGGAAGAGGAAGGGGATCGGCGTGGTTGAATGTTTAAAAGCTAATAACGGTATAACTCGATTTCCGACAAATCTATAGTCCTATAGAAAAAAGTGATATGACAAAGTTGTAGGTAATGAAAAGATCTACAACTTTTAAATCGAAATCTTATTATATTTATTTGAAAAATTAAAATAACCAAGCTTTTGTGTTTTTGTTTTTTTATCTTATACAAATTTTTTCCTTTCATGAATTTTGGTGCAACTTAACTAGATGACTAGTTTTCTTTTCTAGAAATTGGATAAATTTTAATTCTTGAAAATATTGTATTGTAATTAAATTTAAGGAAAGAAGAGTGATGAACTTTTTTTGTAATTTTTTGCATATGTATTTTTCCTATTTTGTCATAAAGTCAGTTTCAAAATCATTAAGTCCATTTAAATATATATGCATACAATATAATAGTCAAAATCCTTTTAAAACCGATTTTTTTTAGTAAGTTCAATTATGTTTACAACTAAATATATTAGTCTATAAATTCAAAGTGTTGCCTACCCAAGAACGAAAAGGGGCATGGATCTGCTCAAAAATTGGGTAGACTGAAAGAAAGCATTAAAAATACCTACTTATGAGAAAGCTCATTAAAATATTTCACTTGAGATTTTGCGCATAACAACAGCGGATGGTATTTAGGCTTCAATTTTTTTATCCTTCAATCCCTCTTCAATAAATATAGTCATTATATTTTCACTTTATATCGTTAAAAGAATACTGACATTATTTAAAGCTTTTCAATTATCATTTCATACAAGATATCGCAGTAGGAAGTGACATCCGTGAGCTGAAAATTTTTCAAAAGTGGGCGTGGCCCCGCCCGGTAATAGGTTTACTAAGGATATCTCAGAAACCTACCTCACATCATCACAATTTTAAATTGTATATGATTCTTTCACTTTACAGTACACATATTGAAAGCCAGTCATGTTATCGAAATAAAATTTTGCATAAAAAGTCGAAATCTAACCATAACTTTTCAAGTTCCCAGATATTCCAATATGTGAACCCCAATGCCTATGGCTCACTTTTTACTGAAAATATTGATCAATCTGCGAAGTACCTTACTGAAAGTCGAAGAGCATCGTGTTCTGCAATCATATGTGCCAAATTTATACGACATAATGCTTGCTGACTTTCTAGCCGTCTTTAAACCGTTTATTATGATCAATATAATTGATACATTAATGTTTTCATAAACATACATAGTTTTACGCTGAATATTAATTAAATTTGTAGTTCCCGGTTTAAACCCCTTATCCCCTTTATAAAATAATTTTCGTTTTACTGGTTGATTTTTAACTCATATACCCAAAATATTTTAAATTTAACCGCTTTGGATTGGTTGAGTTTATATCACCAATCAATACCAATATAAGGGAAATGAAGCAAAATATAGTAATACGACTAAATGAGTCTACGACCTATAATATATTACACGTTATTAAGATACCAAATATGACTGTAATATTTTTATTCCTTTGCCCAATTATTAATGTTGAATTATTTCACAATAAATATGAATATATATTTTTTAATATAACCAATTTTTTCCAACACCTAAAGGTGTTTTCTTGGCTTTGATTCTTGGAAGAGTAAAAATGTTCGCTTACACTCGAACTTAGTACTAGTCTTTACTTGTTTATAGCCATATTTATTGTACCAGGAAGCATTTAAGTTTACCTGGGGTTCTTTCAAATCTAAATATATATTTTTCCAGTTAGAAATTTGGCTTTTGATAGAGTCTTAATAGATAATGAATTAAATTAGTTTATATAAGGCAATTCTTTTGCACTTTTCCATGGCGCTTAAAAAACCCAAAAACACCATATATATTTGGAAGAGAATTTTTTTTAAAAGGATACTAACAATAAAAGATCATAAAATATACAATTTTCTTGAATAAAAGTTGAAACCGTAAAATGTTTACATAGGTCTCAAGCTAAATACATTTAAGGGGTGTCATAGGCTTTTTATGAAATAATAAAATATATAAAGTGTATGTAAAAAATCCATCATACGATTATATCGCCAATACTATTACACGAATTTTAATGAAAGATTGTTTTTTGACTTATGTGGTTTCGGTTAAATTTTTTCATAGTTTTCTTTCTAACCTCAATATTTAAAAAAGTCTAACAGCAGGGTCTATTTCCAATTATATTCTTACAATATAATAACCGCACAGAGAAGTCTTAACAAAATACAATATAATAATAAATAATTTAGCTTCTTTTTTATAAATAGCATATTCTAAATGTTACATAATTAAACTTACATATGTATGTCGAAATATTCAATTTTAACACGAAAATATATTTAGATTCGTACCGATTTCGTCATGGCATTGTCCAAACGACCACTCACCAAGGAGACCGCTTTGGCTGAAAACAATAATAACAACAACAATAATAATCATAATAAAACCGAAGAACATGAAACGGCAGTGAAGCGTAAAAAGCGCGCCAGTCGTGATGATGAAACAGCCAATAACAATAATAACAACAACAAAAACGATGACAAATTGTCAATGCTGCCACAGAAAAAGCGCGCTGTAAGCAGCAGCAACAATAACAATAACAGTAACAACATAAACAAAACAAACTCAACGCCGCACGACATTGCCATGTTGCAAAACTCAGTGCATAGCAGCAACAACATCAACATCACAACCACCATCTTACATTCACCAGAACACACACCACCAGCGATGGTCAGTACAACCACACCGCCAAAAACGACCGCCGACGACCAGGACGACGAGACGCTCATACGTGAGACACAAGCAGCACTCAAAAGTCTCTCAGGCAGTTGGCCACCGGAGGCGCGCAACAATCTTTATCGTCTGCAGGATCAGGACGAGAATCCGCCACCTTTTCAGAATCTCTTCGAAGAGAAACAAAAGTATGGCACACAAACGCGACCAACTGACAAAGAAACATATTTTCAAACTGATCTCTTACGTTTCCACAGACAAAAGGAAAACGATCAGGCGCGCATCAATTCACAACACTCGGAGCATACAACGTTGGATGAGCGTAAACGTACCACAGCCTTCTCGCAAGCGTCCGCCTTTAAGCCACCACACGATATCAAACGCAACGGTCTCATACCCTATCCGCCGGGCGCAACAGCTATGACATCAGTGGCGTCCTCACTACCACCACCACCACCGCCACATTATCCCATTTACAGCAACAATGATACATCGGCTGCATACCTCAGCTATCAGCCACACGCGCTGGCCGATCCCAGCACAATGTCTATGCTGCCGCCCGCGCGTCCCACACCCACAACACACGGCAGCAATGGTTTCGATATCGCCTCGCAAATCGGCGCTACTGATAATAAAATTACGGAGCTCAAGCCAACACTGGCAGGCAGCGTGCCGTTGCATAAGCATAATGAAACGCTTGGCGCTCCGGGTGTCGTGGGCGCCATCTCAGTTGGAGGCCCACCAACGCTGGCCGATACTAAGCACTACACCATACTACAACCGGCGGGTGTAGGCAGTCGTGCAGCGTCGGTGATGGAGGATATAGCGCGAGAGGGCGTGGTAACGGCGGTCACAGCTGTGGGCAGCAACAACAATAATGGTGGTGTTGGCGCGACGGTTAGCGTACCCCAACCGACCTACTCGCCGGGCAGCATCAATCGTGGCGGTAAGTAATTCCGCAGTGTGCCGCGCGCAACTGTACTCTTTATATATAAATAATAATATTATATTACTATTGTAGATTTATGCATTTTTGTTTTAATTGAAGTCATTTTCTTTCAATTGATAATTCGGTATTCATATTTATTTGTTGTTTTTATTTGGTTTGAGGTTATGCTTTTCTGTATGATTTTTGTGCAATGAATCGGCGTATACTTGTGCTTAACTTCTTGTTGCATTGAGTTTAAACTCCAAACCATCACCAATTCGTACTCACTGAGCACCCAAGACAAACACCAACATTAGTCAGGCACATACCTACACTGCGAGAAATAGTTTAGTGTTCCAAAAATGTATTTAGAGAACTCCCTGTTTCTTAGCTAGTGTTAACTCTTCCTCAAGGTATTCTCTTTTCAGCAGATTTCATATGTGTATACTCGTATATAATATATTTACAGTTAATTTTTTCCAGGCCATTCGAGAGGTACCGAATCACGGAGCCATGGAGTTTGACAAAATATGTTTTACTTTTTAGTTTAATTCAAGATCAGCTTTTAGCTTTTAATACTTGCTTGAACCTGTTTATTTTCTTAGAATTATGTTTTTTTTAATTCAAGAAATTTAGAATGATCAATTTATTTATTTTTGGGGTAAAATATTATTTTGACCCATATCAGCTTGTACTGGAGTTTAGTGATTTTATGTTGTCAATATTGTTTCCGTACTAAGTCTGAATTTGCAAAAGTAAGACAGGCTCAACGTTGCCGGAAGTTTATTTTTCTACCCAAAATATAATGGCGCTTCAAATAAAATAAAGTTGTGAGGACTTCATTCTGAAAACATCAAATTTATCATAGGAGTGTATGATAGATGGTCTATCTAGTGGTATACAGGCTCTATAGATCTAGCTAACTATTTTCTAAATTTCTATAAATTTCTCTGAAACTCGAATATAAGCAGCAGCGATGATATGAAGACCTGTCACCGTTATTATATATTTTCGAAATATTAATTTATTTAAATATGTAATACAAAACTGAAGCGTATTGATGAAATAAATAATAATAAATCGTTATACCAAGTATCAAATATAAAGCAAAAAGATGTACATTATAAATTATATTTCGAAAAAATATATCAAAAATAAAGAAATTAAAAAGAATTTTACAAATTTCATAGAACAAACCATCTGAAACTGTAAACATTCTTAATACTTCGCTATTTTGCTGACTGTAAAAGTAAACAAGAGCTTACTTATTCGAGAAATTTTAAAATAAATTGAGTTTTTCTAACGAAATTATTATTAACTGAGCTTAAAAAATTGCATATTTGTCTTTTTAATTTAAATTAAGCAACTTGCAGTTGTCAAAATTTATTTTAAAAAATTAATATCTTATGCGTTTAAAAAATAAAATGTATTTCATTTACCTTAGGTTAGGTTAGGTTAGGTTAGAGGGTCGATCCTAAGACGGATCACACTTGGACAGCTTAAACGGCGGTCCGTTGTGGTACCCAAAACTCCTATGAGCCGGATCAATCCACAGGTGCTATATATAATATAGCGTTGAGAGCTATCGTTGTTGTGGTTCGCAGTGCACCGGAGATTCCGATAAGCGCCGCTTTTGGACTCGCTCAAGCTTTTTATTCAGGGTAGTCTTTTCGAGCGCCTTCCACCAGACGAACACACCATAGAACAGTATTGGCTTGACTATGGTTTCGTAGAGCCAGAACACCACCTTTGGTGAGAGTCCCCACCTTTTCTCTATAGCTTCCCTGCAGCAGTATAAGGCGACCGATGCCTTCTTGACTCTCTCCTCGATGTTCGGCCTCCAAGAAAGCTTTCTATCAAGGATGAGCCCTAGGTAATTCACCTTATTAACAGGTTGAAGACATGAACCCCCGGAGAGGGGTGACGTACTTTTACTTAATTTTTTCTTTGGTTAATATAAAAAAAGATAACATTTTTTGCTATTAAATTTTTTGGACTGTAATTATACCCAGAAAAGTATATCTTAAGTTTCCCTTGAAGTTTTTAAAACCCTGAAGGAAACGTCGGAGACTCTACAAAATATATATATAAATGATTAGACTAACGAGCCGAATCGATTTAGCCATGTCCGTCTGTATATACTCAAACAAGTCCCTCAGTTTTTGCGATATCATTCTGAAATTTTGTAAAAGTTCCTTTCTTCTCAAGAAGCTGTTCATTTGTCGATATCGGCGGTTATTGTACAAGGCAAAACTACAGTTTCCGAACAAATTGTTTAAATCGCACTACCATAGCACATAGCAGCCATATAAACTGAACGATCGGAATTAAGTGGAAATCTTTTTTATTTGGAATATCTTCTCACGAAATTCACTCTAAAGCAACTATAGCATATAGCTGCCATTCAAACTGATCGATCAAAATCAAGATAAAGATATTCTTATACCCTTTTATGATATCCATATATAAAGTGTCATAACTAAGCACTAAATTGAGATACAAAACTAATTTTTACCGAACATATCGATCAGTCTGTGAGTTTTGGTATTGAAATTCGGGAAAAATATAATATATATGATAACAGCATGCCCCTGTACCAAGCATAAAATAAGGTCAATACTGCCCTTAGTCGCCATATATCTAATATAAATTATTTCGAACTTGTAGAAATCTTAATGAACTGTAAGAAATGTTAGTAAAGTTCCGAAAGAATCTCTTTCTAAAAATAGTGTATACTCTAGCCTGTGATTGTAAATAATAGATGCAACACTTGCTACTTTTAATCAAAATATATACGAATGTTCCGTACATCACATAATATTCGAAAATATTATATAAAGTGTTCGGTTACACTCGAACGTAGACTTTTCTTACCTTTTTTTGTTTATATTTTGAAAAAAAAATGTTTACATTTTTTTACTATTTTTAAGTAATTGGTTAATTTTTTTTTACTATGTGACCTCTTTTTATGCTTCCAATTTTTTCTATACAATATTCTAACAGGAAATTTAAGAAACAAATGTAATGGTAAATATTTTATCAGTTTCTACTAGCACCAAAGAAAAATTTACTAAAGTTTCGTTCTGGAAAATTGTATTTAATTGCATTTAACTTTTAGTTAAATTTTTTTTTATTACAAAAATGTTTTCTTAATTTATTTATAAATATTTCCTTTTAAGCTTTTAGTGAAATCGAAATTAAAGCGCAAAATGATTTTAAGTTTTTTAAAACGTAATTTCTACTCTGCACACCAGCTACTTAAACTTGATTACTCAAAACAAAGCTCACCTTGCCACCTTTATTTCCTCAGGACAAAGCAAAAACACACGACATTACAAGTGCATGTAAGAAAGATATAAAGTACACGCATAGACACGCTCTCACGCACACACTCACACGCATGCACTCAAGTGCTGTAATAATAGAAATTGTTATCACAATCATAAGAATTGTTATTATTTGCGCATTTTGTTAGCATTTAAGCCGACACCGCACCTTTCGCCTCACACACACACACACTAACAACACATAAGGACAAATCACTTGACTACTAATGCCATTGTTGAGCGCTCATTTGGCGTTTAGTTGTGGCAGAGCGCACGAAAATTGTTGGCCGAACCCTTTTCTTCGCCGCAGCTAAGACAAGCAGTACGACAGAAGCGTCATTAGTGCACATTAGACACGTACGTGTGCTTTACAAAAACACCGCGTGTGTGTGAGAGTGTATTAGTGTGCCTATAACTACTTAGAAAATTCATCTTTTTACCAAAAACCAACGGCAGCAGCTCAGGGAGAGAGACTAGCAGACGTTTTAGAAATTATTATTATGATGCGTGGTTTTTTGGTATTATTGTGCTGCGAGTACATGTTGTGGAAGAGAGAGTGGGTGTGTGTCGCACATCGCACGAAAAGCCACTTTCGCATATTTATTTTGTCATTATGTCGGCATTAATGCTATCAAGGATGAATGTTTAGCTGCCATTAAGCCTTAAGCTAGCTACATTAAGCACTACAACAACAAGCACAAAAACGCCAGCAATGGCAAGAACACCAGATACAACAACTAATTGCAGAAGTAGATTTTCAAAGTAATTTCTCATGTATATGAATTTCGCTACATGCACGTGTGAGTGTATAAGTGTACACATATTCATGTAAAAGTGCGCTCGTGTGTGTTTGCTATTACTTTAGCTTTTTCGTTGCCATAATTCGAATGACTTTTTAAATAGTTTTGCACTCTCTGCCACCGCATAGCAAGCGTCAATAATTTCTACTCCGATTTTGTTTATGCTTCCGTATGTATGTGCCTATGTGTGTATATAGCACCCACACTACTACATGTTATGAAAATAATAAGTCATTAGTTGAGGCTGCGCAAGCATTGCTGCCGGCAATGCTTATTAGGCTCAGCTTTATTCTGCCTAGGTTGTGAAATTCAATGCTAAGGCATTTTCACGACGGTGCGACACGTCGTATGAGTAACTTCTGCGTAGCCTACCACTCATAGCACATTTAATTTACACATATTATTTTTGTTTTTGTGTTATAAAGTTTTGGTTTTATTTATCGTGTATGTTAAGCATAAATTAGAAGAGAAAATATCTATTTTATTGACATTTTAAGCGAAATTTTCGGTTGTGTGTTAAAATGTGCGTTTGCAAATTCGAAAGTATCCAATACGATTTAAGCCATCATATACAAATATGCTCATATGTGACATTTTAAAATTTAGTATGCAAAAACTTTTTAAGTTCACCTCATCGATTTAATTTTATTTTAAAGGGTTTACGATATGTAGATTTCAAATAGGGATAAGTCGAAGGTCGCTTTTGTAAAGTAATAATAAATCCATTTGGAGCAAGTTTCTTATGCATACTCGTATACATGCGAGTTAGACTACAAGTTTTTATTTTCTAATTATTAAAAAAAAAATTTTTTTTAACTTTGCTCTTTTTATATGAAAAAATTATTAAAGTATATAGTCACAATCAATTCTGATTTTAAAATCTTCTCCTTTGACAGACATTTTATTTCAAGAAAACAAAATTTAATTTTTATTAGAGCATAAAAATTATACTGGTAATTTTTTTTTAATTTTTAAATTTGAATATAATTTTTTATAAAAAAAATTTCAACCACAATACTTCCTCATATACAAAATAAGCTAATGTTTTAAGCAATAGAACACTAAAATTGTAACATGAGAAATTGCTTTTCTATTAGTTCTTTCCCCCTTTCAGTTCTACTTTAAAAAACAAAAACAAAGTTTATTAAGGGACACACCTACTGTGAAGGCCAAAAAAAGACAATTTTTGAGAGTAAAAAATTGTATTTAAATTTATTATTTATTTACTTAAGACTACTGAACAAATTTTCTAACGAAAAAATTATATATTTTTCGAGTTATGCGCCATCTCCCTAAGCCCCTAAAAATATGAGTACATTCTCCCTTGCTACAGTGATACCGGCTTTCTCCGTGCATAAAACCTCTAAAACAAGTTCTCAGTTAGAAGATATTGGTCGAAAAAATCAAAAATTGACATAATGGCCGCGTTTAAAAAAAGTTAATTTTTACTAAAAATGTTGGTAATTTTTTGAGTTTTTGACCAGAACAAAAAACTGGCAAGTTATTGTATGGAGAACTATATACAGAATATGCCGAAATTTAGTAGTGATCGGATCATTTGTGTCCGAGTGATTACTCAAGCAAATTCGATAAATGCTGCTTCGAGAAAAACGTGTTTAAAGATAAACTGATGGATCTGATTGAACTGCGAAGCCTGTAACTAAAATTTTTGTTTAAATATTCATTAAAAATTTTAGTATGTTATATTTCAGGCTATAGACTATAAATATATGAAATATATATTTATTTTAATTTCACACAAGACATGCACTTAAAAAAACTACATGCAATTATTATTCATAATTTAAAATACTGGCCAAATTATAATATTAGCCACAAAAAGTATTTTACTCTATGGAACTACAAGCGTTGGGTTTTAATCGTGTTTAGTCTTATGACGCATAGAAAACATTAGTTTATTGTATTTATGGTTTGATTCAGAGTAGTTATAATTTTTTTTTTTATTTTATTCATTATCGATATATATAATATTTTTTTTTTTCTTAAAACAATATTTTATTAATTTTTATATCTTTAAGATTATAATTTTTTGCATATGAAAATTGTTTGATTGTTTCTTAAAACTTTCAAATGAGAAGTAACTGTTTTCTAAAATCTTGTTTTTATACCCTGATCGAGCTTTAGCCATGCTCGTCTGTATGTCCTCCTGTCTCTATAAACGCGAACTGGTCTCTTAGTTTTCAAGCTATCGATCTGAAATTTTGCACACGCCCTTTTCTCCCAAAGAAGATGTTCATTTGTCGGAACAAATATCGGACGACTAAAGCATATAGCTGCCATACAAACTGAAATATCAAAAACAAGTCTTTGTATCTTTTTTTAAGATATCTTTCACGAAATTCGAAATGGCAATGAAGAAATTTCGAAAAGAATTATTCAGATCGGATTACTATTTTTTATATTTATTACTATAATTTTATATTTTTTTCTTTCAATAAAATGATTTACTAAAAACTATATATTTTGTGTAATTGAAATTAGAATTTAATTTTGCTGAAATCTCTCTAAAGGATTCGCTTCCAAAAAACATTTTTTTAACTTTTCTATGACATAATTTGTGTATATTTCCCTATTTTATATATTATACTTTGATACACACTTCTTGCAATAATTTCATGCTATATATTATATATAATTTATAGGTGCACAATCACAAAATAATTAACATTAATATTAATTTATTTTACATTAGCAAAGGTTAGCTTGTCGTCGGAATAAATTTGTGATTTATCAACCAAACTGATTCTAGTTAAAATTTCAGCAATTGTGAAATGCTACATTTTTCGAACACGCTAAAAAAAACAAATTATAAAATAACTCCTCAAGGGTTTTTCTGCATTAACTAACTATAAATGCCCTCAATAATTAACTTTAATAATGCTCAACTCTTGGATTTAGTTTTATTACAGTTCTTAACATTACGATTTTCAATAAAAATTTTAAACAAACTGGTGTAAACTGTAAACTGGTCGCTAAAATACAAAACTAGCGCTTATATGTAACTTCAACTTTGTACATAATGTACCATATGAGTATGTGTATGCGTAGTTTATCAACTCTAACTTCTCTCCCCAATCCAACTTCAACTGTCATTTTTGCTTATTTTCATTAAATTCTAATTAGTTAAGCATTTGCAGCAGCATCTCAGGTAGTCCTAGGGCACACATACAAACGCACACCACATGCTCAAGATAATATGCTGCCAGTCAACTATGCGTTGTCTGCTGGCAGCAAGCGAGTATGCCAACACATGTCTACATGTATGTGTGTGTGTGTGAGTGATCTCAATGTTTTTCCGTGTTCTTTAACCTCACACGTAATAGACGCAAATATTTTCTAAACATTTTCTACAAACTCTTTTTTAACCTCACACTCGCAACACATTGAGAATGTCACCCTTTTCATCCCACACTAATACATGCATAAACACATATGCGTAGCAAAACCTGTATGAAATTAGCAAATGTAAGCACGTCTCAGACAGATTCTTTTTTGTTTATGTTGTTTTTGTTGTTTTTCCCTTACATGCTGCCACTACTGCCATGAAATTATTTTGTAAATTTGGCTTTTTACATATATGTGTGTTTGCTTGTGTGCGTGTAAATAATGCAAAGCTGTTTTCCATCAAATTTTAATTTATTATTTAGGAAAAATGCCAAAAAGCACACACGAAGCTCTCTTTGCACGGCAAGTGTTCTTAAGAATGTGCAGGTGTATATGTGTGTTTTTACATATCTGTCCGGTGTATGTGTGTGTGTGTTTAGCTGTGATCTACGCGCGCTGTTTCGCTTGTCAAGTCTGCATTTGCTTACTTTTAATTAATTAAAAAGCAAAAATTAGCGACTGACTGGCAGCGCTGGGTAAATCAGCACGCACATATGAACAGACAACAACACACACATATACATACATACAACATTTATATACATACAAATACCTTGCAAAGCTTTCAAAACTCAAACATTGCTTCATTTCATAGCCTTTGATTGCTCATAAAATTTTAAACAGTCAGCTCATATTTCTCTCGTTATTCAAGATAAGCAAGAAGAATATTTTATAAAGTTGCCAAACGCGTGTTTATTTTATTGTTTTTTTTTCTTATAATTTATCTAGATTTTCTATTTTAGTTCTTTCTCAAAGTTATTTCTTAGTTATTTATTTTGTAAATTATATATACTTGTATATATATAGCTGTCACTTTTGTGCTCGTCTATGTGCCTTCGTGCGTCATTTTTGGTTTTAGTTTTTATACCGTTCCTCCCACATTCGTTACAGATGGCACCAAGTGCCCGACACCAAGCTGTAACGGCCAAGGACATATCACGGGGCTTTACTCACATCATCGCAGGTACAAAACGCATGTCAAATTACATTTTTTTTTAAGTAATACTGAGTTCACACTGATGAAAGTGCTTAGGTTTTTGAAAAAACGAGAAGAAGACAAGATTGCAAAGAAAGCATTACAAAAAATAATTGATTTGTTTTTACAATCTAGAAAATTTTAATTAAAATTAATTTTTGAATTTCTAATTTTCCAATTACCGGATGTTAGAAATAAATCTCTAACCCCAAATATTGGTTTGCAAATTTAGAAAACAAAAATAGACAATTTTCATGTTAATAATCAGATTCAGCAAACTTTTCTACAAGCCAAATTGCTATATATTCTCACATCCAAGCAGTTTCAAGAAAGAAAGAAAATATTTTTAAAGTTGGCAACTCACTTCAAAAATACTTTGACAGCAATATTTTATAAATGAAAACATTTTTTTATAGCATAAATAGCTATCGATTATTATATTATTAATTAATAAAGCTGCACATTTGGAAATAGTAGGCAAACCTGTATAAAATAATTAAAATATTTTTTTAAAGCCAAAATAAATATAAAAATTTATTAAGTAACAATTAAGCAGAGATTTTCTTTAGAACGTGGGTAGTTCCCTGTAGTTCTAATATGTTTCACAAATACTGCGAAAACTATAAGTAATTATGAAAAATATGGACACTCTTTTTATACTCTCGCAACCTGTTGCTACAGAGTATAATAGTTTTGTTCACCTAACGGTTGTTTGTATCACCTAAAACTAATCGAGTTAGATATAGGGTTATATATATATAAATGATCAGGATGAAGAGACGAGTTGAAATCCGGGTGACTGTCTGTCCGTCCGTCCGTGCAAGCTCTAACTTGAGTAAAAATTGAGATATCTTTATGAAACTTGGTAGACATGTTTCATGGTACCGTGAGACGGTTGGTATTGCAGATGGGCGTAATCGGACCACTGCCACGCCCACAAAACGCCATTAATCAAAAACAAATAACTTGCCATAACTAAGCTCCGCAATAAGATACAAGACTGTTATTTGGTACACAGGATCACATTAGGGAGGGGCATCTGCAGTTAAAATTTTTTTTTAAAAAGTGGGCGTGGTCCCGCCTCTAATAGGTTTAATGTGCATATCTCCTAAACCGCTAATGCTATAATAACAAAATTCACTGGAAGCAAATATTTTTAGCACTTCTATTGACGGTGTGAAAATAGTTGAAATCGGGTGGCAACTCCGCCCACTCCCCATATAACGGTACTGTTAAAAACTACTAAAAGCGCGATAAATCAAGCACTAAACACGCCAGAGTCATTAAATTTTATCTCTGGGATGGTATAAGATGACTTTATAGGAACCGCGTTCAAAATTAGACAGTGGGCGTGGCACAGCCCACTTTTAGGTGAAACCCCATATCTTGAGATCTGCTTAACCGATTTCAACCAAATTCGGTGCATAACGTTCTTTTCATGTTTCTATGTCACAGTGCAAAAATGGGCGAAATCGGACTACAACCACGCCTACTTTCCATATAACACCATTTTAAATTTCATCTGATTATTTCACTTTCCACTATGCAAATCAGGCAACAATGACTGTATCGGGATAAAACTTTGCGTGAATAATGCGATTAAAGTATGCCACCTTGTGGCCAAAAATTGTCTAAATCGAACGAAAACTGTTTAAGCCCCTAAGTACTAAATATGTGGACCCCAGTGCCTATAGTTGACCTTCTACCGAAAATATCAGCCAATCCACAAAGAAATCTCAAACGAGTATACTATTTGACTTTGCGAGAGTATAAAATGTTCGGTTACATCCGAACTTAGCCCTTCCTTACTTGTTCAAATTACAATTACTCAAAAATACCCTGCAGAATTTCAGCTGTCAGTAGTCAGGTGGCAATTTTTAACCTTTAGTTTTAATAAAAGGTTATAAGTTCAATCAGAAGATTTTATATTCATTTAATTTTTTGTGTGAAAACAAATGTTATAAACATTTACTTTAAATTTTAAAATAAAACAATTAATTTATGGCCAGAAGGCATATTTTTCTAATATGCTCAATAAGTTCAGTAAACAATAACAATTTATTTACAAATTTAAAAAAATTACAATTTTTAAGCAATATGTCAACCTTATCTATCTAATGGGATTTATACATATTGTATTTTTAGCAAAAGCTAGCAGTAATTTAAAGAACTACGTTTTCTCGATTTCAAATTACAAACAACAATTAGGCATAATATGTATCACAAATTCAGCATGTCAGCTGTCAGTTGTCAACAGTCAACTTCTGAAGCATAACTATTAAACAAACACTAAAAGCACCAACTTTTTTAAAAAAGCTGTTATATAATTTTAGGACATACAAATCATAACATTCTGAAAATCAGCTTTTTAAAGCAATTGATGCAGTGTGAACTTATAGCAAAATGCAACTCTGACTTTCTACTTAAAAATACATAACTCTTCGTTTATTTTACTCCTTCTATAGTTTATCTGGTTGTCCAAAACGTGATAAAGTCACCTCGGAATGTAAGTTAAAAACAATATTCTTATATAATATATAACTTTTTATCTGTTCGTATGTTTGTAATGTATGTATAACATTATTTGATTTGTGGCATGTGGCATACGTATGTGTGTTGTCGTCTTTATTTTTCTTTAATGCACGCAATTTGTATTGGTTTTGGAATAATTGCTGCATATGATATTTAAATATTTCATTGCACATTTGTATTTGGGCTGTGAAATAAAAAGCTCGTAAGTCCATATTGAGTGCTTTCAGATTTAAATTTCATTTTTAACATTCCTTTAATGAAATGTAAGCCTTTTATTTTCTAACAATATTAAAAAATTTTGAACTCATGTCAATTAACGCGTTTTTTCTTTTCGCCTCCCTTTTTATGATTTTCATATATTACCATATAGTTTGATTTTTTTCGAAAATATTTTTTTTTTGTATCCTAAAAATTTTATGTTCACTGTACAAAAATTCTTAATTATTTTATTTATTTAAATCCAGTTGGTAACACATATTTCACTTTTTCCATCGCACTTCAACACAAGAATAATAATTTTTGCTTTAAATATTTTTTTAAATAATCAATATTAATTTTTTAAACACTAAATAATTTTCAATGGGGTAGAGATTTTTCACCAATCAAAATATAAAAAACTCTTAAAAACTATTAAATAAATATATACCAAAACACCTGGTATCTAATAAATGTGCCCGCTTTTCACGTACTCAGCCTCTCCTCTGACGCAACTATCTGCATAAATGTTTGTAAATCTTCTCCTACTCACTACTAATAATGCCTATCTGCTATCAGCAATGATCGAGCATTAGTAGCTCTCTTACTCTCTTTATGACTATCCCTATCACTACGGAACGCCTAAATTAGTTTAACACAACTTTTCACTAGCGAACTATCAATTTCAACTAATTCGGCCTCTAACGAAGACTGCGCTCCAACGTCTTAGTACCGACTACTTTAACTTTGAACTCTGTGGAATGCCAAATGCTCGTGATCGTAATCGTACTCGTAGTAGAACGGTGTTGTGATAAGTCTAGAAATTATTTGCCAAAAAATTAATACAAATTATCTTTCTCTCTCCACAATTCACTCTTTCACCCTCTCTGACTTATGCTTGCATTCCCCAACGCCTTCACTCGTGTAGTATTGGCTTTACATGAGCAAATTCTCAAGTGTCCCACACCGGGTTGCAATGGACGTGGTCATGTGCAGGCACATCGCAGTGTACATCGCAGTCTATCCGGTTGTCCGAAAGCAGTAAAACGCGCCGCGAAAAGAGAACAACAAGCGGTGTTAAGCAAGAAAACAATTACGCTTAGTCACACCACGATAGATCGCAAATATAATGCACCTCGTGAGAGACTTGAGGCAAAAGATGCTTTGAAACCCATTCGAGAGGAGCTTCACAGTGAGGTTGCAGGTTTGTCGCCTATATGAGAGGCATAATTTCAATTTGTAAATATTTTAAAAATCTCTACCCCTCAATTTGAGGTTTCGAGCTCGTGTTTTAAAAAATTCTTCGATTTGACCCTTGTTTGTTCATTACTTTTTGTTGTCTATTTGAAATTTTTGCAACCCAAAATATTACCGTTGAAATATACCACTCGTATCATCTTTATTTCTCACTCACAGCTGTGGTAGATACGTTAAAGTCCGAGCCGAAGGAGTTGCCTCATTTGGAAAAGTTAAAAATTGCCTCGAATCAATACTTGAACAACAACAACATCAGCTGCATTAATAACAATAGTGGACACGTCACGACCGGCAGCAACAACAATAATAATAATAATAATTCCGCCAGCCACAACACACTCAGCCACAGCTCGAGCTCGACGACGAATTCAAGTGTGGCGAGCAACGCAATGCCAATTATCAAATCGGAATTTAGTCCGGTCGCCAGCGTCAAGTCCGAATACAACAAAAGTCCAATGCATCCATATATGAACAATGCGGACAGCACCGGCGGTGGCCCAACAGACCGCTCGGCCAACGGTAATGTGCCCAATACCGGCGCTGTGTCCACTACAAATTCAGATAATTTGCACGCGCCGCACTTGAGTGGTGTCCGAAGTGCGACCGGAACACTTCAAGCATCCGGCTACGTGAGCATGCAGCAGCAACAGCATCAACAACAGCAGCCACCCCAACAGCAGCCACCAACGCATACAATGGCCGACCCACATCAGCAGCAACATCAACAGCACGCGCAACAACAAAGTCCACATAATCCACATCAACAACAACAACACACAATGCATCAACAACGCGGTCCATTCATCGAAGATTCATCTTCGCTAATGATGTCCGCTGGCAATGGTGCTTCCGTGAACGGTGCTGATGCCTATCGCACCGATGGTCATCATGATGATACACAACATCAACAACACCACTACGAACATATGCGCTATGCGCAACACATGGTGAATGGTGGTGGCGCTGGCGTTGGTGATGGCAGTCTTGGTGGCGGCAAACCACCCACCTCTGCTTATGGACAGGAAATGCTCACTGCCAATGGTGCACCCACCAATGCGATGTCGCCCAATGCACGCGCCTATGATGCCAACCCACCTACATCGCTATCATCGGCCGCCGCTGCAGCAGCCTATGCTGATGCCACGGGCGTATCCAGTGTAGCCGGTATGCCGACGGCCTTCGAACGCTACGATCCCATTTGCAATGGTCAGCGTCAGGGCCCACCCTCGAATATGTATCACTATCTGCCACAGTCCGCAGACGACTTGCAAGTGCAACAGCAAAAATACTTGCAAGAACAACAAATGTTAATGGCCAAAGCGGAGCATGATGAACTCGCCAATGGTGGTCCAATATATCCGCGTCCCATGTATCATTATGATCCGAGTATGGGCCCATTACCGCCAGGTTTTTCCGCCATCAATTTGTCAGTGAAGATGGCAGCGGCGCAGGCAGCAGCTGCCGCGGCCGCTTATCAAAATCAACAACAACAGCAGCAACAACAACAACAGCAGCAGCAGCAACCGAAGCAAAGCGGTTCACCGTCGCCACCAGGCGCTCCAGTCGTAGATTTGTCAGCCTCCGCCTCGGTGACTTCGTCCAGTCCGCACGGTTTCAACTCGCCAGCGTCACACAACCAGTACAGTCAGCGCATGGGCGCAGGTAGTCCACAGCCTGGTGCCAGCCCCAACATCGCCAGTCCTCAAGTGCCAAGTCCTCAGGGACAAACGTTGGATCTGAGCGTTACACGCCTGCCTCATAGGTAAGAGGAGCGGGGAACTAATAAATTTTTAAAACGGGGAGAATGCCTTGGCAAGCCCCAATTCTTGAATATATAAGTAATGTTATATTTTTTATACGAGGTCGCATTCAACTTCCTGTGGAGTACTTTAAGACCCGTGGGAGTTATTTTACATATTTTTTAAAGAAGAAGCTATGAAGAAATCTGGAATTTATAATCAGTAACACTTTACTTCTGTGCGGTAGTAATACAAGAAAGGCTAAAGTTTAAAATATATCGGATTGTTGAGCAAAGTTGAAATTTTGTTTCGAACAACTCTCTTTCAACCCTTGCTTAATAGAGTCAAACCTAAAAAATCCCTCAAGTAGACACAATACAGTCGTTGCACCCTCTGCTTTTATTAGGCACACTTAGTTATATTAAACCCACCATAATTCCGAACACTTCACATAAATACCACTCAACCTTAGATTCACATCCCTCCCAGCAATGTTCTTTTAAATGAATGCAAATAAAGTTTATACGATTTCCTTAATCAATGCTTTATTATTCTCATTCTCTTTCCAGTATTATCACAAGCCCACAGTACGGTACACATCCCGACGGTCTGGTCGTCGGACATCCACAAGGCTTTGGACCAGGTGTACCACCAACCGGCGCTAACGGCGCGCCACGTTCACCACAAATGGAACCGGTCGATTTCAGCGGACCACCAAGGCCACTTGGTTTCGGACTGGTCGGACACATAGGCGGACCGCGTCCATATAGTCGTGAATCGACACCGGACAGCGGCGGTTCACACTATATCGACAGCTATCGGGATCCAAGTGGTAAGTGAAGCATTGAAAAGTTCAACGATTTCAGTTTAAAGTCATAATTTTAGTTTCTTACAGTTTGTTGCCTACTTTCGCTTTAATCGTCTGTGTTTTTTTTTCTTCTTTGCAAATTTAGGCTACTCACCTCATCCCGGCTATGGCATGGTTGTACAATCTGATTATCCCCCAGCCGGCTATCATGGCTACGGTCCAGCCGCATATCAATGCAGCAATCCTTATGCGACTGCTGTCGGTCCCGGCGGATATCCGACACCCGTATCGGGCGGCTACTCACCCAGTCCAGCGTCGTGTTACTCCATGCCGCCGCCACAGCATATACCGCAACACGACAAGACAAAGGATAGGTTAGTCGAATGGCAAGTCAAATCACTTTACTACTAACAGCTACTTTATTGCTACTTCTTCTACGTTCATATGCATATTCGTGTGCTTAGCATCCTTTTTACTAACATTTGTGTTGTATATGAAATCATATGTGTATTGCCATAATGTTACTTTTGTCCACTGAAAAATAGTTTGTCCAACCCCTTTGAGTATGAATGTGTGTGTGAAGAACTGGTGGCTGTGCCGCAAGTGGCAACATTCGCCGGAAAGGACACTAGTCTCGTTATTACGATAATGAAAAGAACACACCGGCGCAAATGTCCTTGTCAATGTGGGTATATATAGGTATGGTGTATGTGACTCGAGCGTTTGGCAGAACATTCGTGTGTCGTCGGTTCAACGAATATTATGGAAAATATTAAAATATGCAATAATGACACTTATCAGACGAGTTGAGTTGAGTTTCGCATTAACAAAGGACCATTGTGTGTTGTGGCGTTGTCGAACCTTAATGAAAATGTGTGCAGCTTCCGAGTATGGGGCTGCATTGGAAAATTGTGTCCTTTTTGACAGATTTTAATATTTATAAAGATGTGTGGCCCCCAAACGACAGAGTGGCAATAAATTGAAATTACTCTAACAAACGAGCGGACGCACTCGAGCAATGACCGACCGGCAGGTGCTGCTGTGATGGTGAGAATTGATGTCAGCAGAGCGGAGCGTTGTCGCATAAAACTAGTTTACGAGCTAACCGATGATGAAGGCAGTGAACGCAAGCCTAACCCACGCCCAGCACTGCGACTTTAAAACAAGCCAAAGTCTTTAATGTGTTACTGTGATGATTAACTGACGCCGCCTTTGTCTTGAGTGAAGTGTAAGAGATTAGAGGAAAGCACAGAGAAACTTATAACTGAAGACCACCTGCGTCGACGGCAATTGAAATCCCATTTAAAGCTGTCTTTCGAATGTAATGCTACAATACAACTCTACGCGCTGATGTGAGCATCGGCTAAGCTGTCATGCAGGCGGATGGACACTCGGCAGAGCAATAGAATCGAAGATTTAAACTTTTAAGTGCGCACTCAAGCGTACGCTGACCAATTGATAGTTGGATAAACGGGCTTATCCGCTTCAAACTGCACACACACCCGAACCTTTACACCCGCATACTCTTATAGCTGGCACTCAATTTATTTTCCTTCGTACGCTCCTGCAGTTAGCGATAAGCTTGTAATTTGCCAGATAAATTTATTAAACCGAACACAAACTTTCAATTCTTCGCTATCATCCGATTGATTTCTATACATATCAACCGTTAGGTAGACAGACTGATAGATTTGGCATTAGAAGCTTTCAAGTTTATATTGCATGCCTTAACAATTCGTTATAATTATTTATTTTAGTACTTGACTGCCATATGTTGTAGACTTTCTCACTCTTCAATCATTTTTTGTCTCCACCTAAACAGTTTGACGGGTTGCACGCGCAGCGATCGCAATCATCTGCAGCCCCATTCGCAGGAACTGAAATGTCCCACGCCTGGCTGTGATGGTTCGGGTCATGTCACCGGCAATTATTCATCGCATCGTAGTTTATCGGGTTGTCCGCGAGCCAATAAGCCGAAAAGTAAGCCACGCGACGGACAGGACTCAGAGCCGCTGAGGTGAGTACCACTATGTATCATATATACATAGGTATATACATACATAGGTTAGGATAGGTTATACCGGCTGGCTGTTAGCCATACATAGACCTACAGGTACTTTGTAATGCCAGATGGGGATTCAGTTTAATACGAGCTGAGGTTTGCGTCAACGCTTTTTGCGAAGTTTAAGAGAGCCTTGATATCTAATTTTGTCTCTTAAACTGCGAAGCTCCTAGATATCTAAGACGAGTTCTAGATAATGCCGGTTAGAAGCAATTGAGGCATTCCAGCGCATCATTTCCCTGCACTTTCTGTCATGCCTTTCAGAAATTTAATTGTGTATCGTTTCTAGCGTAAGTCGTGTACTGGTTCGGAAGCCAGACGAATGGTACTTTTGGTAATCTCATCAGCTATTTCGTTGCCCTTAATGCTTTTATGGCCTGGGACCAGGTATATATTGTACATGCATCTTTATAAAAATTTGATTTAGTGCGAGGTGTTATAGAATAAAAAATAATTTATTTGTAATATAAGTTGCTTTCGCAGTTTTTTTAACAAAAAAATATGTCACCAATAGGCATCATTTAAAAATCGATAGGTTCACCACTTTGTATTTAAGAGCTTCTCGGTTTTGACCTTAATAAAAGCACGACAAATCTGACCAAGCAGCAACATAACATAAAATCAGGGGGAAAAAAAATCTATCATAAACTCGATTAAGTATCGTTAACTAACTGGAGCTAAGAATTGCGAGCTTAACCTCAAATCTTCAATCCTGGTACTAATTAAACTTTAAAAGTTTAGGAAAGCGAATGTTTATAAGAATTCGGTTTAAAATGCTACACCGCTCAAAAAGAAAGAAATCATGTCGTTCATGATCAAAGCTCTATGTGTTCGGTATTCCTTAAAGTTCTGGGTTCGTCGCAGCGTTATTGGTTATGCTTACGATACAATCTCACTTGTACATATTTAAACTCTAAACAATCTTTTTTATAATACTACATTGAGCTGCTCATTAAAATACCGAACATATTAACCTAACCTCATACGCTCATTTCATTGCAGATGTCCCATACCCGGGTGTGACGGCTCTGGCCATTCCACTGGCAAATTCTTATCGCACAGAAGGTAAATATTGCTTACAAATACAGACATATAGACATGCAAACATACGTACAATGCATACATATGTATACAGCACATAGAACACACGTATAAACGTCAATTTCTCTGCATATCCATAATTAACCACGTTCTCTCTCACCTCTCACTCTCCATTCTACAGCGCCTCCGGCTGTCCCATCGCGAATCGCAATAAAATGCGCGTACTCGAGGCCGGCGGCACCGTAGAACAGCATAAAGCCGCCGTCGCTGCAGCGACTGCAATGAAGTTTGACGGTGCGTATGCTCAACATTTTGGTAATGTCTTACGAATCAACTCATTAACAGCGAAGCAAATTACTAACCCTTTACATTGCTTATGATTTCTTCCATTTTTTGCACTCTCTCGACACTTTTGAACTGCAGGTTGCGGCAGCGCTGCCAGTCAAGGCATGAAGAAACCCAAATTCGACGATGTTACAATGGTCTACCCCAAGGGCTATACAGGTAAGCAATGAAATTGTCTGAAATAACTTTTTTCGAACATATGTTGCTTTTGTTTTCGAACACTACTTAAAAGTACATGAAATCACTTTATGCTTTCCGTTTCGGTTTCGATTTCAATTTCGTATGTGTGCGTGTGCTAATCAAGTTTCTTCAATATTACTTTGAACGAATTGTTTAGTGTACTTATTATTATGCCGAAAAAGCGTATTATTTTAAATATTTTATTATAATTTTCTAGTAAGTAATTGAGTACTTAATTAGAAATGTGCTAAGCACATAACAAATCCAGTAATTGTATGTGACTTACTCCTCTAATTAACTTTTAATTAACTCTAATTAAACATTTACGAACAAAAATTCTAATATTCATTTCTAATTATTCTCTCGTTTTCTTTCTTTTTCTTATACGTTTCGTTTCATGTGGATTATTTGTGTTTAGATTACGCGACGTTTTGTATCGGTGCCGAATATCTGCTATAGAATGAGCATTTTGATTAGCAAAACCAATACTAAACACCCTGCTACATACATACATATGTACATATGCATATGTATATGTATATGTAAAACAAAAACAATGTTGTTCAAGATTTTTCAAATGTCACTCTCTAAAAGAAAACTTCACTTTGAAAAGTCTTTGCTTCCAAAACAAAAAAACAAAAAACATAATTATAAAAAAATACACACAGTACCTTATATCTAAATATCGTAACGACATTTAAACCGAATCGTACCGATCCATACTGTATCACCTACCCACCGATCGATTGACATGAAGACTAAGGTAAGCTCTAATGCTCAGTCCACCTTTTTGTTTTTGTAAAATACTTATAAGCGTACACTATAGATATTATTTGCATAAGCAACTATTTTTTTCACCAACTTTTTTTATTAAGAGTACACCAACGCATTTATTAACAATTCTGCAAGCATAATTAGTGAAACAAATTTGAATTTACAATTGTTATGAATTCCTCTGAACATGTTGCTCAGAAAATGTTGCTAGCAACATTTTTATTTTCTATTCTAAATAGTTTAATTTATGCCTTTAGCTCATAATTAGTAACTTTTGTAAAAAAATACATTTTAAAAATATGTTGCTAACATGCATAACATTTTTGTTTTCTCTTGTAAATATGTTTTTTTATAAATTCAGCAAATTGCAAAAAAATTAAATCAACATGCCGCAAAACATATGTTGCTAGCAATATTTTTTATTTTGTAAAATATTTTTATTAATACGTTCAGCTCATAATCAATAATTTTTGGCAAAAAAAAATCTGTTTTAAAAGTATGTTGCCAAACAAATGTTGCTAGCAACATTTTTTATTTTGTTAATGTTTACTATTATTTTTTTAATGTATTGATTTTTATTTAAAAATGTTTATTTTAAAAAGTTGCTAAACATATATTCATATGTAATAATTTTCCATGAGGAGGCAATATTGAAACACTCTTTTTACATTTAGTTGCATAATATATGCATATGTATGTATATATCTTTGCATTTTTTTTTTTGTTGGTATGGACATGTTGCAACAATGTTGCATGTTAACGTGCAAGCAAATTTTTGATGATCTTTTAAGAAAGCTTATATTTAGCACAAAATTAATTATACATATTGCCGGCAATATTTTGCAATATATATGTATATATTTGCTTTATTTATGTGTATATTATCTCATTTTCTGAGAGTTTAATTGCTTAAAATATTATTTCCTTTGCAATATTGCCATGCTACTAGGCGCATTATCGTCAATAAAATATTCATGATGTTGCCAGTCACATAACTTTGTAAATTAACTAATTTTATGTGGTAGTGGATACTTCAAAAACTATCAGCAACTACAAAGTATTTCGAATTTAATCTCTTATAAAATATTGCTAAACGTAAACTTTTGGCAGCAATGTCGGATTTATATCAATAATTTCTGTATTTTGCATAGATTTCAATTTTTTTTTACAAAATATACTATAGAGACCTTTCTAACTTATAAAAACTATTTATCTCAAAAATTATATTAAAAAAATTCAAATTTAGTACTAATATTAAATACTAAATTTGAATTTCTTATAGGTAAGATTTTAAAGTAAATTTTCAGAATATTTATAGATCAAACCATTTAACTAATATTTTGAAGAAAATTTTGTGCAAGAAGCGAAGAAATGTCGATAGTGAATTCTGATTTAGCGATATGACTATTAATTTACTAGGTATATAGACAAAAACTTAGTGCCTTTTCACTAGAATTTTTATTTTTATGATAAATGTTTACATTTTGATAAAATTTAAGGTTTTATTTTATTACAATGAGAAAGTGGCGAATTGTAGTACTCTTTTGATATATTTTGTGAGGAAATCAAAATAATTGTATACCACTTTAGTACGGTTTTAGTACGTACATCAATTTTAAAGAAAGAAAGGCCTGAATGAGTTTTCGGCACACGTATAAAATGTTTACTTTAAAAAAATTTTAAATTTTTGCAATCATATTATTTCAAATTGAACAAACAACATGCTACCTTTATGACTTTAAGTAAAAATAAATGAATCTTTAGTACTACTCCTAATTATTATAAGAGTTTATAATCATTTATAAAAAGTATTCATTAATAAGCCTATTAAAAAATTGCTCAAAAATCATAAAAAACATGATTAATTAATATTCTTTATTTTAGCACAATTTTAGTACAACAATTTTAGTACATTTTTAGTACTAAAACTTTGATAACGCTTTTAATTTAATAATGCAAATACAGATGCAGCATATACTAATCAATAATAAAATCTGAACGAAAATTTTAGTACTAAACATTTAAGTGTACTAAACAAGATTTCTTATTATTTACAACAATTTCATTTACACGTTTGTAATTTAGCTAAAACTGAACCCAAAATTATATCAATAAATTTGGTATAACTAAAATTTAGCACACGCGCACATATATTTTTTATTGTAATTTCTAAAACCACATTTTTTATATATTCATAAATAATTACTTAGCAATTTTAGTATAAAATTCTAAAAATGTATATTTTCTTATTCACCCTCTCTTCACGCAGGCATCGACATGATGATGGGCGGTGTCGGTTCCGCTGTCTCCTCATCCGCTTCCGTTTCAAGTAATCTCAGCAATAGCAGCAACAACAACAACGCATCTGTGGTAAGCTCAACCGCTGCGCTGGGCAATGTCTCGTCGTCGGTGGCCGGCACTGCTACATTGCCCGACAGCTTGCAAGGCAACAACACCGCTAACAACAACAACAACAATAATAGTAATGGCAATAACGCAACAAATAATGCGAATAACAACAATAACAATAACGTGCCCTCAACAAATGGCGGCGGCAATGGCAGCGGCGTGGGCGAGGACTTGAACACGCTCGAAGCAGAGATCTCGGAATTGCAACGGGAGAATGCGCGCGTCGAATCGCAAATGATGCGCCTCAAGTCCGACATAAACGCCATGGAATCACAGTTGCACACCAGCGATAGGGTACGTAGGCTCAGGTTCGTTGAGGCAAACAAATATCAGTAGCTTATAAGTATGTAGCAACATATGTATTTTTGTATGTAAGTGATTTGAAGGTCATGGGGCGCCACTTATAGTGCTCAAGTGAATCGGGGCCCTTAAAGTGCGGAAGGGGCCCAAAGTGTAGGAAAAGTTTAGATTAAACAATAATTTCTTAGGAATTTTCGGTGTAGGCGGCGAACCACTAGTTGAGTGCTTAACCTTTTGACCTTTGCTCTACATTTGAAGCGCCCATTACAACTCAATTATTTAGGCAACCACATTCTTTCATATATTTGTATTATAGACTATTTATGTATGCATGTGTGTGTTTTTCGTTTAAATTTGTTTGCCTGTAGCTTTGCATTTGTACATTTGACTTTGTTTATAAACTTCTTATTACAGTTTTCAAGGTCGTCGCCGAAATTTCAAAAACTGCACTGGCTTCCACCGTACCCACAAACAGTTTAAAAAGTAGATATATACACTGTCAGACAATGCGTGCGAAAGAGATGGCTGGCAAATATTATTAATATAACAACAACAATAAAAATACTATAAAATATATGGCGTCGTCGGCGGCTGGCAAAAGGCGCAACAACTTTCACACCAAAACTCAAAACTTCGAGTTTTCTAACTTTTGCGCAGCGACCGCTAACTTTTGCTGTATGGCCTAGTAAGCACGCCAACTGCGCTGTTGACGTCTACGTCAGCGCCATCGCCGCTAAAATCCAAACACCAAATATAATGTTATAATTTTTTCTTCTTAACAACTTTTGTTATTTAAATTATTGCCAAAGTACAGAGCTCACAAACACACTCACTCACACGGTAGACGCTCGGCGGGACGGCGCGAGCACCAGACAAACGGACAGTTGGCGTCTGAAGGCGGTCGGTCTCTGAAAAGTGTTAGAAAATTTCTGTCTGACTTAGCAATGACTCATACTTTAAGCGCGTCTACAACAAACACTCGCACTCAGGGTTCACTCGCCTCCATACACCCGTCGTCCGTCGGGCGCTAGTTTCTACTTAACTCAAGTTTTGCCCTTTTATCAAAGTTTATCAATTAATTTTTATGAAAAGTTCTTGCACTTTTCGCCAAACTTCCTCGACAATCGCTCGCTCACTTCTACTTACTTTTATTTCTCTCTATCTCTCTCTTCCTCTCTCTGTCTCTCTCGCGCACGCTTCAAAACACTTTCACACGCTTTAGTCGCGTTTGGTCGCTGCGGTTAATGGACTTGTACCGTTGCCGCCGGCGTCAACGTCGACGTCGTCCTCAGCGCTATGTCTACGCCGTTTTGCTTAGCAAAATTTGGAGCAGAAAGTTTATAGTCTAACAGCTAAAGTTTTGCATTCGTCATCGTACTAAAGTTTCGGCGTAAAGTTATTAATAACTTAAGTCAAAGTCCCACTTCTGGGTCGAATTGTTGTTGAAAGTATTGAATTTTCCACACGGCATTTTGTTTGGAATTTTAAGGCGAACGTGAAGTAAATATGAATATTAGTACATCGGCTTTAAGATTTGTTAAAGGGTTAACGAATTTAAAATGTTCTCGATGCATATAGCAAATATTCGTATAAGGGTATACATTAAGACCACAAAGTTTCCGGAAATTGTAAATAGAACGAACAATTTTTAGTCTTAATCAATATTTATTTTGTCGCCTTCAAAATATGCTCCTTCTGAAGCGATACACATATGCCAACTCTTTTTCCAATCATCGAAACATGCCTTGAAGTTTCGGGTCCGGGATCGCCTTCAGTTCCCTTTGCAAATTTTCTTTTACGGCCTCAATCGAGCCGAAATGGGTTCCACGCAGTGGTAACATGAGTTTTGGAAACAAAAAAAAGTCGCCAAATGTGGTGTAGGCCAACAATTTTCGGAAACTTTCTGGTCTTAACGTATGTGCGTATACATATTTCATGGATGAATATAATTCCGTTCATATCAGCAATAAGAGCCGTTTCGTATTATTTTTATGCTTCCTGTCAAATTTTCTGAAGTTTTCTCGGAAAGCATTCGATCGATAATTGTTAATGACAAGCAAATAGAAATCCTACTGTTGTTGTACCGGTAGACTGTCTTTCAAGCTAACATCTTCATTTTATGCTACTAAATCTAAGATGGAAGGGGTATCGTTGAAAACTATTTTCTAAGAGAAATTCGGAATATCCTCATCAAAAAAATGTTTTTCCATTGCGCGGTAAAAAAAAAGATTTTATAAGCGCTTCTACTTTTTCGGCTTTCGATGAGAATATCTCTAGAATTTATATCATCATTATTATTTCAGGGGTTGTTACAGCGACAGAAAGCAATAACAAAATAATATTGTGACAGCGCTCGGCCAGGGTCCGTTCCAGTTGCGTAGATCCGACTGTGATACCAATTCTAGGTCCGTTGTGTGTGTCTTTTCGGCACGTGTAGAACCACCAGAAACGCTGAGCTACTTACGCATAGTTAATTACCTCTGTACGAAACTCCCATATAGGTTATCTGGATAAGAAATAGTGTATGCAGACTAATCTTGTTTAGAATCAGTTTTAGACTTCAATTTAAAAGTATTGAGCTCAAGTATTCTGCGTTTTATCGTCTACGTTGCCCCAAGTGATATGCGTGTTTTTATCAAAATGATGTTGTTTCAACTTTATTTAGGAAGATTGATGGGGTTGTGTAATGCCAGGAGTTCTCTTTCGTTTCGTGCAGATTTTTGACTTCTGGGCACATCAATACTACCAAACTGTATACTAGGAATAGGATGGCAATGGGCGCTAGGCAGAAGGAGCCAATAACCGTTTAAGGCCTCCCAACGCTCATTTGTCACAATTTATACATGCATGCATATCAGGACCATATTCCACAAATCTAAAGACAATTTCCATCACTAATAATCGATTAGCATCCATAGCTTATGTGGATCCAGACAAAGTACTGGAATGACTATTTACAGCATATAACTCTGTCTCTCTCTTCCTTTTGTATGGCTTACACTCACTTTTCTAAAAATTACATTAGAGTTTTTGGAAAATGCGAAGAGCCAAATGAAATCTTTAGTACTTGCCAACCGTATTACTATTCCTTAGTGGCAACACTCTAACACAACCTAAAAATAGTTGAACAACTCGAATAAGTAATATATTGGAGATAGAGTGCCGTTGGAAATTGTATTTGCTTTGTAGCAGAATTTTTTCAGTTGAGGTTAAGAAAGTTTAATGAAGTATCCGCATATTTTTAGGTATTAAATTAAGAACAGTAAAGCAAAGGAAAAAAATTATGACCAAAGTTATTTCCTTACTATAAAGTTAATGAAATTTCGCCAAGAAGAGCTTCTAATAAAATCTCTAAGCCGCTTGCCAAGAACTTAAGATTGTAAATTCATACACTTGAAACAAGAGAAACCTATAGAGAGTATAGCAGAACGGGAAGAATCTGCGAGTGAGAGTCTTAAAACATATACTCGTATGTATGTTCATGCTAGTAAATTTCTAAAAAACAATTTCTATAAAATTTTGTTATTTTACAACCAACATTTATCCTAGTTATATCCACCAGCTATTCATTTGCATCAAAGCAATTTTTCTTCCTTTTAAAGGAGGATAGTTATAATTTTTCTATTTTGCTTGAATTTGCACAAAGTTTTCACTGCTGCAAACGCCGAGGGATAAGACGCACGCGTAAATACAAATTACACAAAAACACAACGTAAATGAGGTAAACAAATTCAACAAATGCAATGATGATGAATTGCATGGGCAATGCAAGCACAGACACACACTCATACGCGTTTACCGACAACAAGAAAAAAGTGCCTGACAATCATCCGAGTACACAGTTACTATATAATAGCAGTCATGTGTATGTATGTATGTATGTATGTATGTGTGTTTATACAACAAAATGGCGTTCTGATGACAGCCAAAGTATGTAGTAAAAGGCAGCAACAACAACAACAACATTTCGGCCAATGAGTAAGCTTTAATGCAATTTGGATGCATTTCCATGCAAGGGCTGTGCCGCAGAAGGACTTCCAGTGCGGCAACAACCCTCAGCAAAATAAATGCAAGCACTCTCACTTTGCAAGTGTTTGTAGGCAGAGCGAGAGTGTAGCTACAAGAATCCCTAAAGGCGGCGTGTGCATGCGCGCCAAGTATTGCATTGGCGACGAGCAAGCAGATCTTATCCCCAGTGGTCACCTATGTGCAATATACACGTACATACATACATACATATATATGCAATACATATGCAACTACTCACAGATGGCAACGTGTGCGCCTGCCAACCCCACCTGCCGTCGGAGTATACACGAAGTTTACTAATGTGATTGCTACATTTTGTTGTTGTTGCTTGCTGTATTTATTGTGGTTGTTGTTGTTGTTGTCGTTATTGTACTTGACGGCATCTGTCCCTTTTCGGTCGTAAACAAATCAACAAATCGCATTCCATTACAATTCGCTCCTATTCAGTCGCCCTTGCATACAAGCAATACTACCAACAACAACAAATCATATATATACGCGCATGTTTCACCAACTGACACATTCATACACACACATAAGCAAGCAGACATTCCCAACTGTGTAGTCACTTGAGAATTGCTTAAGTTGTGTGTAACCTTTTGGCCTCCCATGTGGCCAACTACATGCACACATACACATACAAGCGCTTATACAAATACATACATAAATGTGCATGTGTGTGTTTGCTGGTAGGGAAAATAAGGCCAACAACGTTGAGGAGGCGCCGTGCGCTTGAACTGCGCTGGCGCTTAACCAACGAGCGCGCAGCATATTCTACATAAATATTGGAATACACAAGTATGCATACATACGTATATGTATGTGTGTGTGTAATGTGGCAGTCAATCGGCGGCATGCCAACCCCCACAACGCAATTGGCGCCAACAACAATGCAGTGCCAATAGCACAGGCCAACTGCTTCCCAGCTCCACTTTTTCTGTATATTTATGTGCGTATGTGTGTGTCTATGTATTACGTTATATACTTGAGCAAAAGAGGGCGTCGCATAACGTATTTTTTCGTGTTTTTCCTTTGCTCCACTTAAGTACTTGTATGCGTTGGTGTGTGTGTGGTGGCGCTTTATGTACAAGAAGCACTTCGTATTTTTTCTTTATTTTTTCGCCTTTTTCGGTTTTTTCCTCTACCTTCTTCTCCATGCTATTTTTCACGTTTTTGTGTGTTTTTTTTTCTGCGCTTCGTGCGCTATTCGGCCTTTTCGCTCTCGCACTGCTACATTGTCGGTATAAGAAAGGTATACATATATTCTCTACGCTCCTCTCTTCTACTTGGCCGTGGCTATTCATGTCTTAACTAGTAGTAAACACATGTAGGTGTATGTGTTTATGCTCCGCATTGGGCGAAGCACTTCATTTTTATTATTTGGACCATTTGGTAGGTGCCTCAGTTTTCTGAAGGATCGTTATTACGCCTCAACGACTTGTATATGAAGTGAATTGTATGAAATTCAATTGAATTAAATTCAATTAAATGATTTTATTAAATGATGTGGAAGAATAATGACAGCTTGGTATATGAAGACGCCTAATTAATGCGGATTATTTTATTTTATTCATTCTTTTGTTGATACGACATAACAGTATTGACTGAAATAAGGGTTATTTAATATTTCAGCTGACATCCTTCGAAAACAGTCACCTAAATATACCTATATATGTATATGTAGGTATATATTATATTGTATGTACATGCATACTTTCTTAAATAGCTCCCTTATTACATTAGTTGAAGGATTTTAGAATTTTTTCTTTTAAAAGCATGTCTATGTTGCCGTCATTTGAATATAAAGCCCGCAGAGTTTAGTTAAAGCAATAGCACGTTACAATAATTTCCTTTCCACCAGAGAAAATTGATTGTTTGAAGAAAATAAGTTTACTTTCCAACCAAAAATCATTTTTATTACTTAGCATTATATTGTTCTAGCTTGTCAAATTCAATCCAAATCCATATAAACTTATTTTATCCCTTCCGAAATATGAAATATTGGAATATTTTATTGTAGTATTAGTCCCTCTTTTAAACATAAAAGTAGGTTTATCGGGGCGAGCGAAGATTAACTTAGTACCAGGTGTACGGGTATGAAATGAGCGATTTTTTTATTATTTTTTTAATTTTGAATGGAAAAGTATATTATATTGAAAAATCTACTCAAATTCCAGTAAGCGTGCCATGTTAGTGTTAATCTGTGGTGCATATACCCAAAAAAAGGTACCTATGAGGGTAGATATATAAATTGTATCTGATCAAAACTGACCCGGACTGACGAAAAAAACAAACAATTTTACGTCTTTTTATCCAAATTTTCTATTGTCATCTTTAAGATATGTTCAGAAATACAATGCCAACCTTCCCATGTCAGTGTCATGCACATCTTTTGAGACCTCTACACGACGCCGTTTTTACAAAACATTCAAGTATTTTTGTACGAATCTATCATTGACACTCTCCATACCTAAAACATTAACCAAAATGTGTTGAGTCGATCCATATGAGATGTTGGGAACCTCTGCTATATCTCTGATGCCAACACCTTGGTTTTCAAGCACTATTTCATTACTGTTATTATTACTTATGTCATTAACAGTGGTGGATGAACAACTCGGACGAGGAAATTTTTCGATGGCTTAACGAAACACTAGGCTCCCCAAAACACTTCTGCACCATTTACAACGGTTCCGTTGTGGTGATTCCATTGTTTAATTTTTTCCACGGTAAAATTGCCAGGTATACACCTAGACACGAATATAAAATAAAGTATGGTGAATGTGGTGTGATGTATTAGGGAATTACTGGTCCATAATTCTTCAAAAATTTAGTCGGCCACAATGTTATAGTCAATGGGGAACACTACAGAGGAATGATTAATGACTTTTTCATGTCTGAAATAAAGAATGTTGATGTGGACGACCCCAATACAAGTATATCATACCCGCATTTAGTAGGGTTATGTGATGTGATCAATTTAATGAAGGAAACTTTTGGTGAACGCATTATCTCGTGTCATGGTTCTATAGCGCGGCCTCCAAAATCGTGTGATTTAACAACTCTGATCTATTTTTTGTAGGGTTATGTGATGTCGCTTTGAAGAGAATATTCGACGCGTTATTGCTGACATACGATCCCAATTTCTATAAGAGTGATCGAAAATCTCTAACTAATGGCAAACCCTTATCTTTACAGTAAAGCTAATTTTTTTGTCATAATATTAAAACTACATGTCTAAAAAACACCCTTTAAAAAATATGTACTAAAAAATCAAGAAAGTCAAATGATCAGATGGTACAAATTTCCCTTCGTAATTTCTCCCAATCCCAATCCCAATCCCATCATTGCACATTAGGGATTTGGAGTTTAGATAGGTTTACCTTGGATTTATCGAGCACCAAAAACGAAGTCATCCCCTTTTCCTTTTCGCCTAAGCTTTCTCATTTGAAAAATACTATGGCTCACTTTTAAGCGCAATAAAAAGTAGTTAATGTAGGCTACATATAAGCAGAGGTATTCGAACTTTATGAATTGAAGTTAAAATTTCCCTTAGAAACTAGGCATAATTTCTTTATACTTATATTATAGTATTTTCTAACTTATCAGCACTTTCAATATCACTACACTTAATTAATATATTAATTTTTGCTTCTTTCTTTGCACGCCTGTGTTCTATAGGAGGCTTCTCCGCTGAGTACTCATCAACAGCGTAATCTCGCTGCGGTGACTATCAATGCTGGAGGAGCAACAGCTCTTGGGAGCGTCTCCTCCAGCGCCTCAATCGCGTCCCCGCTCAGCAATCACAACGGTAGCGGCAATAGCGCCAACGGCAACAGTAACATCAACCTCGGCGGCAGTGGTGGCACCGGAGGCAACAACAACAACAGCAACACCCTCTCCAGCACAAACATCTCACACTCCCTCGCCAGCAGTCACGCCAGCACCATAGGCAGCCACAGTCACAGTCACAGTGGCAGCTATTTAACACCACCGCCAAGCGTCAGCATCAGCACCACCACCTCATCCACCTCATCCAGTAGCGGCGGTCCACCCACATCCAGTTCCTATTACGAGAGTTTACGTAACAACGTTATCACACTACTTGAACACGTACGGTTGCCCCCACCCGGCGGCAGCAGTGGCGGCACAAGTATGAGCGCTAATCCACTGGGCGGTGACGGCAGCGGCAATAATGTGAGCAGCACCAGCATAGGCGGTCATCCAAGTGATGGTCTGAGCAATAGTTTATCTTCGAATTTGGCAGGATTGCCCGCCACCGCTGAGGTGTTGAGTAATCAGCAATTGACCAGCGCTTACGGTGTGCCACATCCCTCACATCCCACACTCATACCACCAAGTCCACTACCCACAGCCTCTATTGCGCCCACTAATGTGGTTAGCGGTGCTGTGTCCATGTATGCAGCGCCACCCCATCATTTAGCCGGCACTCATCCGGGTATGTTGGGACCACCACCGCCGCCGCCTCCACCACCACATGGCGCCACAATGCCGCCACATCATCCATATACCGTGCATCATCCGGCTGGTTATGCACATCATGAACCCTTCGACTCATACATATCAAAGCTACAGTCACTCTGTGTGCCACCCGATGTCTATGCACTGCCCGATGATGGTAGTCGTGCAATGTACGATACAGTTAAGCCGAGTTTGCATCAGGACTACACGCTAATGCCGACGCCAATATAAGCGTGGATGAGAAGAGGGTTGGAGTGGGAGCGCGACTATTGGATTTAATTAGCTGACACTGATTAGACCTTTCTGCATATTTTCTTCGAAGAATCAATATAGAGCATAGCATTAGAAAGTTCTGAAAGCAAGAAGTATAAGAAGAGGTAGAGCGGTGAGTTAAATTACAATTTTCTGAATTAAACGGTGTGAAGGAAAGGGGTATAAAAAATATATAGTAGAGATAGATTTGAGTTAGGTAGCCTATGTAAGGGTGGGAAGATAGCCAAGATCTTATATATCTCAAGCACTAATTATTTCTTTTCATTATCTCTATTAAAAGCCGAAATACTTAAAGTCCTGTCAAGAGAAAAGCAGAAATCGACGAATATTTAGCTCTGTTTAATGACTTTTTAAGCAATAGACTGAGAGTTTTTAAGTAAAAAGCTTTCATTTTTATTATTATGCAATGTTTCAAAATTGATCCCTGCTTGCCACAGTATAAAAAGCTTTAATGGTCATTGTTATATCTTCATATGTGAAAGCTTCAGTGAAAGCTCGCTATATGACATTACTGAAAGCCTGTTTATATTTTACGTATTTTTAAGAAAGAAATGCTTTGCTTAACATTTCTTTTATTTTTATTTTTATTTTTACGCATTAAAACACTTTAAATTGGTCTCAGGCCTCAGCTTAAAAAACATTAAGGCATGTATGAAATATAGTTATAGCTTCATAAATGAAAGATTTTTAGGTGTAAGCTTCAATGAAAGCTCCGTTAATGTTAGAAGTGAAAGCTCGTTTGCAGTAAAAGCAAATAATGACGAAAGCTTCTTAGTGAAAATATGAAAATGTAAAGAAGGATTGAACTTTTTCCAATATTTTGTCAATATACTAATGTAGTACATAATTTAGGAGAATAAAAAACAAAATAAAATCATGAAAAATTTAATTATTATTATTATAGCGAAAAGACAGGTATCAAGCATTAGCCTTACAAAATCTATTAAAATAAATTGTAAAATAATTATTATTCACTAAAAAATCAGAAAATATTTGTAACTGTGTATATATGTAGGTGTGTATTTGTAATTATGTAGATAAAAGGCGATAACTTTGGAATATGTTCATTGAAATATTTTTTCAGATCTTCAAGTCGAAGATTGGAATATGTGTTCGGAAACTAAATACTAGTCAGAAAATTATCTAAATATAGTAAACCGTAGATATAATATTCGATGTATGGATACTAACAATATATATTGTTTTTGTTTCATATAGTTACAACCACAAAAGATATTTATACTAAAATATGTATTCATAGCACGTTCGCTTTAAAGAAGAGTATACGAATATATATATATAAGGGTCTATCCGAAAGCTTGGTGCTGACCCAACTACAGCCACCAGTCAACTTATGACCCTGAAAGAATATAAAAGTTTTCAAAGATAAGAAAATGAGAGAAATTGTAGTAAAATGAAAAAGCAAAGATGATGCTTAATTGTATATAAATCTGTATGCATGTGTTTGAAAAGGTCAACTTTGTCGCTGAAATTCTTCATCGCGCTAAGAATTATAGTTTTTAACAGTAACTGTATGTATGCAAATGTAAATAATTTAGAAATATTGAATTTATAATAGATGTGCAGTTCCGCAATACAGCGAAGTATTAGAGAGACCCAACTAATTCGCTATGTCTGAGTAAATATATATGTATATATGTACATATATGTATCCAAATTGTACATATTACAACAAAAACGTATATATGTATGTTTGTAAGGGTAAAGACCGTTTTCTAATAACCATTAGGGGTATTCACGCATATACATAACAATATTATGAGAAATTTTGCTGGAATATATTTTCTTGTTTTCTGTTAATATTAAAAAATGTGTAAGTAGAAATATGTGATTTTGAAATTTGTAATCAAGCGTTGTTTTTATATGTTGTTTACACTAATTCTTTTGTTGTAGCTAATTAAAGAATAAAATAATAAAGAAAATTATCCTAAACATATTATACCATATAACGTAGCATGAAAAGAGTAATTTATGAAAGTATGAATCAAAATTTTTATTTAATTCAAACAGACTATTTCAATAAGTTGACAAGCAAGTAAAAGTAAAAAAAAATTGTATGAAAAAGTACGTTAATGGTGAACATAATATTATGCTGTAAAATACAGATAATATAGCGACTAAATATTATCAATTTATATAATAGCATATAAAAATGTATTTCTATGTACTAAAAAATTTAAAAGCTGCTCTTATGTGTATTAAGTAAAAAATAATTTTTTCTATTTAGCAAATAGCAACAACGCAGATATCAACTAAAGTGCAATAAAAATAGTAATTTTAAGTGTAAAAAAGCTTAACTCAAAAATACACAAAAATATTTAAGAAAAACCAAAAACATAGAATAAAAAATCCCATACATTAACAAAACGAAAAAAAAAATTAAAATAAAATATTTTTAAAAAATATATAAAAAAGCATATATTTAAGAAAAAATTAAATAGTATGCAAAAAGTAAAAACAAAATATATAAATTAAAATAAACAAAAATTAAACAACCCTAATACAAAATCCAAAAACATCTCACCAAACCCCTCCAAAAAAATAGAATAAAATAAAAAAATTGCAACATAATTTATCAGTGTCTAAATATGGCAACCTCCAACAGCAACTGCATAAAGCACAAAAATAAAAATATACACACATAAAAATATATATAAAGAGCAATGCATAAAAACAATTCCAAAAAATAAAAATAAAGTATTTATTGCTCAGCAAATTATTATTAAACATTAAACAAAAACGAAAATGAAATAAATTAATTACGCTGAACTTTTTAATAAATATATTTAAGACAACATTAAAAAAAAAACCTAAAGTAAAAAAGCACAAAAGCTCCGATTTCGCATACTGTATGTAACACATCATAACGGTAACTCTAGTATTATTAGCCATAAGCAAGTGTAGATGGAGGAAAACTCAAAACTCATAAAAAAAACATATTTAAACCCTACTTACCGATATTATTGGGATAAGCCAAAGCGGAATAAAAAGAGATTGTATTGATAAATGATAATTAAATGTTAAAACATAATTTAGAGATTAAATAAATTGCAACAAAAATAATTAAAATGACGAGTTTTTCTTATTTCCAATAATTAGATGATCATACACTTATTTAAAAACTCTTCGTTTCTTACAGTTTTCTAAAACTCCACTTCAACACCGTTCATTTGACATCAAAATCTGCAAATTCCGTCAAGATTTGCCGAAATTACGAATTCGTTCTTTTCTATCTTTTTTCCAAATTTACGATATTCCACCTTCAACACCGTTCATTTGAGACCATAATCGGCAAACTTGCTCAAAATCGGTAAATAAATCTTTATTTCTTCCTTTCACCAAAATCAACAAAATACGTTAAAATTTGCCCAAATTACAAAAAAAAATCGCGACTGGTCACTTTAACACGTTTCCTCGATTTTTCGCTAAACACACAAACATCAAACTCTACCAGGCGACCATAAAAGCCAGCAGGTCGCTGTAGCAAAATATAAATAATTTCCTGTAGCATACCTCAAAGGCGCACATCGCGCACCAGTGAGCGGTTGGTAATGCAGTGCATGCGGTATATTCCTTATAAATTTATTAAATCGCAACAGACTTGAGAGAGTTTGGTGGCAAACGAAAGGCAAAGGTTGCAAGTGCATGTAAAATTTAAGCGTTTACTTTTAACTCAAATGTAATCGTAGGAATTTTCCGTGAAATAATTAGTAAAAAAAAAAGTCGCACTGCTGTAATTATCGAATTTGTAGTGATTTTATATGACCAGGATAACTCGAAAAACGTATTTTAAATGATACGTAATATAAATGTTCTTTCATCTTACTTTCCAAATATGAAATTCATAGTTTTTCACAATAAGATTAATCTATTACAGCTTTTCGCAAATATTGTTTCCATTTGTGATTTGTTAATATTTCTTCGCTGATAAGTGCTTTGTAGGGCGCTTGATCTTTCATTTAGTAGCTAAGTGGCTGAAATCGGTGAAATATTGTAGAAGCTTAACCTGTAAAGGTGGCAGCAGGTCTTACTTCCGGTTGTCCTGCAAATACCGATATAGCAGTCTTCGCTTGCGCCTGTGAGGTATGCTTCGGGAAAGAATACATTTTGCAGACAGCTGCCTACTAAACGATTTTCCGCGCCTGGTAGAAATTGTTGACTTGTAAATACAACGAAAAAGTTTTTTAATCGCCATCCAAGTTGCTAGGGCAGATTACCAATTTTGCGTAACTTTGGAAAAATGTATGGTTTTTTTTTTATTTTTCAGCGTTAGTGCGACTAATTTTGGGTGGGCTATTTTTTTATAAAATTAAACTTTATGACTTACTTTAAATAAATATTTTCCAACAATTTTAAGTAAAATTTTTTTTTGTTTTTATTTTGTTTAACTTTTTGGTGGTCTCTCTACCAATAAACTTTGTTGTTTTTTATCAGGTTATTTATTATAATTTCCTTTTTTTTTATTTACTATAATTTTGTTCACTTAACGATTGTTTGTATCACTTACAACTAATCGAGACAGATATAAAATTACATACATACTTGTATAAAATTGACCAGCACGACGTCACGAGTTGAAATCCGAGTACCTGTGTACCCATCCTTCCATCTGTGTAAGCTGTAACTTGAGTAACAATTGAGATGAAACTTGGTACACATGTTTCTTGGCACCATGAAGGGTTGGCATTCCAAGTGGGCGAAATCGGATCATGCTGTTAAGCATATTTGTAAGTTAAAATTTTTTAAAAAGTGGACGTGACCGCGCTCTCCTTTTGGTTCAATGTGCATATCTCATAAGCCACTATAAATCTGAAGAGTTGGGTGCCCACTTTAATGGGAAGCACATATTTAAGGTTTTGTGAATCACTTACACGTCAGGTTAATGTTACAAGTGAAAATATATAATATTTATAATAAATATAAAATATGCGAACATTTATTTTTTGCACAAGTTTATGTTACACGTAATGCAGTGTCGCATCGAAAGTTGAGTTGAAACTTGTTGAGGAGAAGTCCAAACTTGTTGAGGAGAAGTCTTTCTAGCACCCTTAATTCATTGTGAAAAAGGATGAAATCAGATGATAAATGCGCAATAACAAGTTCCTATAAGGTATGCTCTCTCAGGTCTTAAAATTGTTGCAATCGAACCATAACTTTTCATATCTCCAGATACCGAATATGTGGATCTCAGTGCATATAGCTGATTTTATACCAAAAATCTCGGTAAAACTATTATTAAAAACAGAGAAAATCTTTTCCAAAGTGTGCTTTTGTGTAAAATCCGGTCACTACTTCCGCTAGCCCATATACATATATTTAATATAAATAAATTCGAACTTCCAGTTGACTTCCTTTTAAAGATTCAGAGAGCTTATGTAAGGGTGAGAGCCAGTGTTTCTTTGTGCCTAAAATGGATAAAATCGGGCCACTACTACCCCTAGCACTTATGTATATACGTGATATTAAGAGTGCTTTTTTGTAGACATGTGGTTTTCAAGAAGAAATAAAACATATTTAATTTAATGCTATGGTCCAGAATTCAGCTTTATTATATAGATAAAGGTTAGCCATTATGTTTAAATTTATTTCGGGCAAGGGGCCGTCGCGGCTGGTACGCATAAATTCCAGCTTAGAGGCCCAATTTTCGACCACATTTTGCAGCAATTCTGGCCGTATGTCAAGAAAAATGGGCCAAATAATCTTTTCCAAGGCGTCAATTGTCTCGGGCTTATCTGCGTAGATAAGCGGCCTCGAATATTCCCACCAAAAATAGTTCGGTGTCAAATCAAGATCCTTCCGCAAAATCTTTCATGAAGTGGATGGTGACAGCTCCAATTGTTGCACGCAATGGCAAATGAACACA